TAAAGTCGGAGGATATTTCAACTACTCCTTGATCCCTTCAAGAGCTCGACCGCCTTCCTTGTCCCAAACCCCCTTAGCCACCCCCCTCAACTTGGCAAAAAATAGTTTGCACTTATCGGACGACTTGGAAATAAATTTGTTAAGGGCTGCCAACATCCTGGCCAATTTCTAAACATCCTTAATAGTCCTAGGCGCTCGGACATTCTAGATTGTTTGTATCTGCTCGGGGTTCACCTCGATCCCTCAGTGAGTAACCAAATATCCCAAAAACTTACTTGAGCTCACTCCAAAGGCGTATTTCGAGGGGTTTAGTTTTAGGGCATACTTTTGGAGGATGGCGAATGTCGTCCCGAGATCATAGAGATGGTTGGCCCCCTCTTTGCTTTTGACCAACATGTCATCAATGTACACCTCCATCATGTTGCCGAGTTGGTCTTTGAAAATTTTGTTCATCAAACGTTGGTAGGTCGCCCTAGCATTCTTCAACCCAAAAGGCATCATTGTGTAACAATAGATCCCCCGGGGCGTGATGAACGCCGTTTTCTCCTGATCTGATTTATGCAAGGGAATCTGGTGATATCTAGCCCGAGCATCCATAAAAGTGATGCACTTGTGGCCGGCTGTGGTGTCTACCAGCTGATCAACATTGGGCAAGGGGTACTCATCCTTGGGGCAAGCCTTGTTCAGGTCCGTGAAATCCACGTAAACTCGTCATTTTTCTTCTTTCCTCTTGGTGCACACTGTATTGGATAACCACTGGGGGAACTGTACCTCCTTGATGGAACCCGCCCTCAACAACTTATCCACCTCTTCATCCACAACCTTTGCGTGGTGAGGCGTCGTTCTCCGGGCCTTCTGCCTAACGGATTTGAATAAGGGATTCACATGGAGCCGATGAGTCATCACCTCGGCACTTATCCCCGTCATCTCGGCCTGGGTCCATGCAAAGAGATTGGCGTTGTGGCGTAAAAACGAGGCCATATCATTTCTCTCTGCGTCGCTGAGTCACTCTCCTACCAAAAAGTACTTATCACCGTTATTTGGGCTCAGGAGAATCTTCACCAAGGCCTTAGTAGACCGGTCATCCGGCTCTGTAATGGGCTTGTTCACTCCCGGACGACCGCTCTGTGATTGCTATTTGGCAACCACCGCATCGGGATCACGCTCTTGACTCCGGCCGCTGACTCTTGTTTTCACTACTGCATAAAAACAGTTTTTCGCCGACGCCTGGTCACCCCAAATTTTTATTATGCCCTGCGGTGTTGGGAACTTTATCTTCTGGTGATAGGATGAGTGGACCGCCTTTATTGCATGCAACCACGATCTCCCCATAATAGTGTTGTAAGGGGAGTCGGAGTCCACCGCCACAAATTCCACTAGCGTGGTCACCACCCCCGCCCGTACCATGAGGGTGATTTTTCCAAGGAGCAGGGCGCTGGAACCATTAAAGCCGATGATGGGGTTTTTTATCAGTTTCAGATCTCCCTGAGAGAGTCCCATCTTGCGGAAGAGGTGATCGTACATCACCTCGGAAGAATTGCCCGAGTCCACCAAGATCCTCTTGACGTCGAACTTTCCGACCCGCAAAGTGATCACCAATGCATCCTCGTGAGGGAGGACCACCCCACTGAGATCAACGTCGGAAAACTGGATAATCTCGGCACTGCTCTGCGGCTTCTTGGGCGGCCACTTATCACCCCTTTCTTCCACCCTGACTGCTTGAGAGACCCTCTGTAATTCGGCGGGGAGGGAGTTATATGTAGGCCTCTCCACTGTGCAGGCATGAATAACATCAATCACGGGTGCTACCTCAGCTGGCACCTCGGCTTGCTCTCTCTCTGACCCGTCGGGACGACCCCTGTCAATGAATTCCTTGAGGTATCCATCTCGCACCAATTGTTCGAGGAAGGATTTATAAACCTTGCAATCCTCTGTCGAATGTCCGATATCTTTATGATACGAACATCGGAAGATCGCATTTCTTGTCGACGGGTCTCCAAACATTCTCGGGGGCCACTTGAAGTAGGGTTTTTTTTGATTTTGAGAAGTATCCTGTGAATAAGCTCGTTGAAGACTGTGTTCACTCCCTGCAAGGATAGGCGAGTTGGGGGTGGAACAGGCCCTCCCCTTCGGGCCAGCTGCTCTCTTTCCCTTTTCCTCAGCACCGTAACCCTGCTCTTGGGCGTGACAGATTCTTCTTCCACCCGGGCATATTTGTTAATCCGAGTCATCAAGTCTTTCATGTCCGTCGGAGCCTTCTTAGTCAGCGATTTTGTACAAATCAGTGTCCTGGGACAGCCCCAGCCTAAATGACGCCGCGGTCAATGCCTCCGAACATGCTTTCACCTCGTTCACTTCATCCCAATACCGGACGACATATTGTCGAAATATCTCTCCCCCTTTTCGCCTAAGCGTCAATAAAGCGCCGATGTCCTTCGATTTCTTACTGCTGGTGATGAATCGAGCTATGAAGAGCTCCGTCAATTGTTTCCAGGACCTCTAAGGAGCAAGGTTCTCATACCACCTCATGCTTGTGTCCCCTAGGCTCATGGGAAAAATTCGGCACAACATCCTTTGGTCAGTATCATAGATTGACATCAATTGTCTGTATTGCCGAATGTGGCTCTCGAGATCAGTTTTCCCATCATAGACTTTGAACCGTGGGACGGTAAACTTCTTTGGCATCTCGGCCTCCCTGATAGCCCGGACGAACGGTGAGATAACTTCTTCGGAGTAGACCTCGGGCTCATGGTTACACTGAGCAACGAAGGGGACCTTAGGATCCTTTTTTGATCTTTCTTCTCGAGGCCTTCTGGGTTTGCATTCCGCTTGTGATTCGGCGGCTCCCACGCCATCAAGTATCCTTCGGCGCAGGTCCCACCTGGATAGGCTTGCCTTCTGGCCCAATTTTGACTTTCCCTTGGAGGCCGAGAACCTTCCTTGGCGATTACGTCCCTCGGGCGAGTGCCTAATCCAATCTTTCCTGGAGGGCCAATGCCAGGGGGCCCTGGATAGATTCTGGCTAGGCACCTGGTCCTCGAACCCGTGACTATGTTCACCCACGCTCGCTGACTGCTCAAAATCGTCAAGATGTTGCTGGACCTTGGAGTTTTCCCTTTCAAGCTGCTTAATACGTTTGTCCATCCACTTTTCCACCATCTCAACGATGTCATGGGCTATGATGTCGCACCCCCCCAAGGCCCTGATCCATAGGGAGCGTTCTTTGCGAAGAATGCCCCACTCCATCTGATTGGCCCAATGAACTCGGCTCCCGAACCATTGGAAGTCAGATGGGCTTTGTTTTCCTGGCCTGTACACTTGCTCCCTCACCCTGAGATTGAGTGTTCACCATCAGACGATCGCTACCGGGAAAAATGCCTTTGTTTCCCACAAACAGTGCCAAATTGTGCGAGATAATTCCTATAATAGTATGAGACAGCAATCTCCAAGCTGGTGAACCTGAAACAATAAGGTCAGAAAAAAGGGGGTCAGGCGAGTGCCCGGCTAATCCCCTCCGAAGCTTAAGTCAGTATAAAGTCGAAGTGTTTTGCTCAATAGACTATTTTTTTGATTCAAGTTTGCGTACTTTTGTCTATTTTTTTGAAGAGTATTTATATCTGAACTAACAATAATTGCCAAAGATCTCCAGTCTCATTTGAACATCTTACATCTGACACACCATTCATCGTGCAATGAGTGTTTTTTACTCATGTCTCCTCCTATTGAATGCTAGGAAAATGGGGTAAATGCTCGGCCAAATGCCGAGCATTCATGCCACTCCCCGAGTACCTAAATCCCCCAGATCGGCATCCGACATCAACTAAACATTGAATACTTGGGGGGAACAGTTCCTCGGGGGAGCCAATCGCGTCATCTCGGCGTATCAGCCATTAATGCTTAGCCATTATGACAGTAGGCTTAGACTCCCCAGAGGGCAAGTGCTGACAGACTCGCATTTATTTATCTTGTCACTTCACTCATTCCGCCATAAATGAGGAGTCACATCGCATTAAATATGAAGTCAGTTGTCGTACCCGGCTACTCAGTGTCACCATAGCTCGGCTTACTTTCTCGGCGCCCTTTGGACATCCCAACGACTTCATTATTTCATGTGTCGACCCGAGCCCTATAGAGCCACCTAGAGTCCTGCCACCAACAATGACACCTTCATCACTCAAGGAACTAACATCACTCAATGCACCATCACCACTCACAGTCCCACCAACCTAGACTCCAATCACTCATCACCATTGTAGACAACCATTAAAAAACAGAGACTAAAAATTATAATAAAAAATCAGAATTGAACCAAAGTCGATTCAAAATAAGAACCAAACCAATATCGGACGTCAAAATTGAATGGATGATCAAAACTAAACTAAAATAGAATCGAACTAAACTTGTAAACAAAAATATAATCAAACCAAAATAAAAATTGAATAGAACCAAAATTGCAAACATAAATAGAATCAAACCAAAATTTGATGAATTGCACCAAAATGGAATCAAACCAAAAATCACAATTGAGTCAACTTCGAAAACAACCAAAATCTTGCTAGAACTTGAAAATCAGAGTCGAAACCAAATCGCCATTGAAGGTGGTTCCATCCTTTGCTTGCCATCAAATCTCAGGTTGAGTTAATACTAGAGGAAAAAAGAAAAGAGATCAGAGAGAAAAGGAAAGGATAACTTGAGGGTATTTTTGAACTTTCACCTTGCTTTGTTTATACCAATTTGCACAATGGGCCCGTGAGCAATACGGATCGTTAAATTGGATGGAAAATTTGATTGTGCATTTTAGTCCCACAACCACAAGCGGATTATGTGCCATTTTAAAACTTCAGGGAGGTAATCTATAATTGGGGTAAATCACATGGGGGCAAAATGAAGTTTCCCCAAAAAATAATTCACTTTCCATATTTTTTTTCTCTAGAAGACGTGGCAAATTTGGAGAGGAGGCTACTACCGTATTGGATAAACTCTACCGCAGGGGAACAACACTCTTTCTGGGGGACTGAAAATGTCGGTTGTTTATGCCGTAGTTCCTAGCGTCCTTCTCATTCGTCAGACTGAAACAGCAACCGAAACCCTAAACCATTTCTTATCATCTGTTTGGTCCCTTCCTCAGCCAATCCTTGAAGTGCTTCTCTTTCTCGACTGGTGGGTTTCTCTCTTAGCTAGATTTTCATTCTTCCTCAAAGTGAATCATCGAATGGTTCCATTAATTTGGCTTCTGTTGTTTATCTTATCGATCTGTTAGATTTTGTAGTTTTTCTCAAGAACCGTTGATAGTACCTATCATTCACACAGACGCGATTGCAATTCAAGAAATTTTAATCTAATAGCCAAATAAAATCAGACAAGAACGGAATGGATTTGCTATTCTTTTACGATCTTATATAAGACTAGATGTGTGGAAATTCTATTTTCAGGGGGCAAGTTCTTTGCATGGGTTCATTACACTACTCACCTCGTCGATTATAGGCGCAGTGTGAACTGTGACTCTTTGTGGTCGAAATACAGAATGGGCGATCTACATAGGCTAGAGTAGGATGACTTAGTATTATGTATGGATATAGTGGTATTTCATTGAATACTAATACATGATTGGAGTATACTATTAGGTCAGTGTCCATAGAGCGGGCCGCCTGTTACGATCTCCAATTGATTTAAAATAAGACTAAATATATGTATATGAACCCTGGGCACCCTTCCCTTGTAAACCGGTTTTAAAGGGCAAGTTCTACACATGGGTTCATAACAAATTTTGAAATTGAACTTTAATTTCACCAAGCCAGTCATGTTTTATTGTCGCACAGTCTCGAGCGGTTAAATACTTGAACTAATTCTTCTTTTTTGTGCTTTTGTAATGGCAGAAATTGTGACTTGCTTATGCTTACTGTTTAGAATGGGTACCGCCTATTGCTAGTGAAGAACTATATTTCTCCAATGGTTGAAATTGCCCCACATGTTTTTATCTGCTATACTTTTTGAGATCATTCTTCAGTACTATGAAGTGCAACTGTAAAAATTTGTTTTTCTAATTTCATTTGTCAACGTGTTGGTGGCTTGGTGCAGATGGCTTCTTTTGACATGCATCTATTTTTTGGATATATGTAGATGGGAACCCGGCATTTGCTATGGAATTCTGCTACGAAGTATTTACATTTGGGCTCATAGGACTTACTATATCTGATCGTTATGCCAGTGTTGTGCATGTTCAGGGCCTCTCTATGTTTCCCTCATTCAATCCCTATGGCAGCACTTCTATGGCATCATTTACTGGTAACTTTTGAGACAGAGCTCGATTAACATGTTGTACATTACTGGTTTTATTCATTGCATTGATAATTTGTTTCGTTGCAGATGACTACGTTTTAGTGGAGAAATGGTGCCTTGAAAAGTACAAGTTCTCACATGGTGACATAGTAGTTTTCTGGTAAATTTTTTATTCCACTTTAGCATCACTTAAGTTTGCTTTAATAGAATTCGAAATATTAACTGTGGTGGCACTTATCAATTAGCAGGCCATCAACTTGAGTTTTGGCTAGTTGTAGACTGCTAGGTTTATTTGTTCCCCTATGCAGCTGTTGACCTCATGTGACTTGCATTTTCACCTTTGATTCATAATAAAATGCAGGCTTTGGCCTGAAGGATTAACATGCTTGAAGACATCTGCTATGAACATGCACATTAATCCTATCTCTACAAAAACAGTCAGTTTATAAAATCCCATCAACCTATGAAAAGTCTGGTTGTTTACCTGTCTATGGAATTGCATTCTTCCGACAAACAGGGAGGGCAGGCATTGGCATAGTGGTAAGGTTGCTCCTATGTGACCTGGGCAATATATGTTATCACATTTCATGGTCACTTCTAGAGCAATCAAATTTGGGATTCGATAAAGTTTCTTTCAAAGTTCTGTTGACTTGGCAAGAAACATAACCCTATCAGTATATCACTACTTTTCTATTGGTAATGCCTGTATGGATCTTACATTTGAGACCCTCAACTTCTCATGCAAGGGCAAGGATGTGTACATCTGACCTTTTTCAGACAAGCCTTATGGATTATATTGCCCTTTTAATCTGGTGATTGTCAACAAAAGCTCCACCAAAATGGCGTGTCAGTGGCATGGGCATTGATGGTCAATCTTTTACCAATATAGATGTGATTTTGCATGTGAATTTTAGATAAGAAATTTTGCTTGGTAGTATTATTTTGGAAAATGATGCGGATGCCAAATTTTGTAATACTTAGTTCTGACTGTGGTTTACTTTCCCTCTTTGCAGCTCCCCAAGTGACCACAAGAAGAAATATATAAAGAGAATAACAGCCTTGGCTGGCGACTGGATAAGTACACCTTATTCATATGACTCTTTTAAGATTCCAGATGGGCATTGTTGGGTTGTGGGCGACAATTCTGCTTCTAGCGTGGATTCTAGATCATTCGGCCCTGTATGTGATCCTTTACATTATATTGTTCTGAGCTTGAACAGGGTCTTCTATAAGTTTACCATTAATAGACTTTTGAGTGTTTTTTGTTGTGTTGTTGTTAATTTAAAAGTCACACTGACAGAACTGACTGTAGACTTGGCATAAAGAAAACAGAATTAAATATTTTTAACACCAAAAGGCAATTTTTCTGCAAGTATGACTTTAAAAGAACCACTCTTCACGGCCAACTATCTCATGTTGCCCTCTCTGGAGTGAGGAGTTCCTTATAACGTCTTTTTCGAAGAATATACATCGAGTCCAACTACAAATCCTGCTTAGCTCGAGAACTTAGCTGAAGTAGGTAAAAAAATTTATAGGAATGGCATTGAGGGGAGTATGATTTTGTTACAAAAGAAGATTCTAGGAGAAGAGACCCTTTTCTCTCCCTTCACTTCTTTCCTTTTTAATTTCTTTGGAGTCTGGGGGCAGGGCTATATGTTAGTAGCATGATGTTTTGGCATTTGTCACTGACAGATACATCTCTTGATAAGTGCCATGATTGCCCTTTTGACCTCTGATGATCTGAGTATTTGGTTCTTTTACTACTGTAACAATGTAGTTTAGACATTGCTAAAGCTTATCAGCATCATGACTACATTAGAACTTGCAAAAAAAACTTATCAGCATGTAAAATCATTGTCAATCATAGATTTTCAGAAGTTATTTGTTATATCTTCCTTTCCTGAAGTTGATTCCAAATACATTTATTTACATAATTTGAACTTGCCATTAACAGAAGTAATCATATCGATAACACCATTGACTGTTTTGTCTAGCATTACACTGTAGTCTGTATATTTACCAAAACTTGCCTAACTTGGGACATTCTGTCATTGGCAGATCCCTTTGGGTTTAATTCGGGGGAAAGTCACACACACTGTCTGGCCTCCTCAAAGGTTTGGTGGAGCTGTTTGAAAAAGTTCCTCAAGGTGGAATTTCGTTCTAATTGTATTTCAACTGCACGTAAACATTTGAGACACTTCAAGTAGAAGACAATGTTTTCACTTCCCCGTGGACATTTGCCAAGGCTGCAACTTTGATTTGATCAATGATTCTTGTCTATATTATGTTTCATGCCGAACAACAGCAGCTGTTCATTTGGGAAAACCCAAGAATCTCTTCATATATGTTGCTGTAGGCCATTCTATTCAGATTTCTGATGAGACTCAACTTAGGTACTACCCACCCTCCTTTATTTTAATTGTGTTATGTTTCCCACTAGTCAAAATGACATAATTTATGACCCGAAATAAGGAGGATCTTAATACTTGGTTTCTTTACAGGAAATCATTGATCCTGTTTGTACTCAAATTCGGGAATCCTCACCTTAATGCAAGTCATTGGCACCTATGACAGCTTTAGAACCAAATCAGGGAACAGGTTTGTTGTCCTTCAAATTTACTAGGCTTTCACCGAGATGGACCAGATTCGAACATAAAAAGGGACAATATCAGCTTGGACCACAATAGAGGCCTGGTGTTGATGCAAACCTATCAGTCTGGGATATCCAAACTGTGATTTCATCTTTTCATGGTGTTGATGCTGGAAAATCTTCTTGTACAATGTCCAAAAAGCAATACTATGTAATGTTAGTAATAATGAAAGTTTTAGCCAATCTTTTACGCAGTGCACTATGTAGATGCTTGTATAGACACAGAAAGCCATGTAGTTTTCTGGAGCGGCACTGGATTATTCGCCATGGTTTTGATGTGCCGTTGGCATAAGCTAATTTATTTTATATAATGATATTCAAAATGATATTAGGTATTCATCACTTTTTCTCATTTTTTGGTATTGCGGCCAGGAGTGTGCGGCTTCATCCCAAACTTCTATTGTCGGCTTGTATGGGTTAAGTTATATGTATCTCGATTAATTTTTTTCCTAGTCTGATCAAAAGCAAAACTATTCACACGCCGGAATGTTTGATTCCGAGTCTGATCAAAAGCAAAACTATTCACACACCGGAATGTTTGATTTCAGAGTTATCAAATTTTGAAATCAAGACGTCAAAATTTATAATTCGTAATGGGTTGTATGGGACGAGTTTGTGTTGTGTTTAAGTTCAACTGTGTTAAAACTTGCTCGACCCATGCTTGAACTATTTATATTCATATAAATTTAGATTCATGTTAGGTTCATATGTTATATAAATTGTGTATAAATCATGTTAGGGAATTCATGTTATATTTAGTTGTACTTGTATCAATCTATTTATTTAACGAGGTTGACGGATTCACTCGTTTATCATCTCAATTCTCTAGTCCATTATTTACTAAACAAATGGCTTAAAAAAAAACTTAAATCTTTTAATTTTGTGTAGTGGAGTTAATTTTGACACTAGAGAGTAAGTAAATTGAGTCTGATAAATAGTATTAATAAGTGAATTAGTTGGGGATTTCCAAACTAAAATTCGGCCGTCCCATTCAGCATCTAGGCCCACCAGGTAGTGCGTACCTTCTTCCACGAATGTATTCTCAGTCTCTGCTGCAACCAAACGCATCCCGCATTTATGGAGGATCAAAAAAAGTGAAGCCCGTAGAACAAATACAAATATAAATGCAAATACATAGGAATTTGAGGGAGTCAAGTGTAAAAATCCAAATGTATGATCACGCACAAGAACACTCGTATAAATGGTAGTTCTACACTTGGCTCAATTGGTGTGAAGTGATCCTTCCTTTTTTATATGCCGTTTCTCTCTCTAGCTGCTAGTAAGGTGAAGGTCATCATATTGTATTGGTTCGTCTCTGGTTCTTTACTCTTTTTTTTTTTCGTTGTTTCTCAAAAATTCTATATATACCGGTGTGCATTGTAATGTGCTAGTCCTTGATTCTTGTTTTTGCTTCATTGGATCAATTTTTTTTACAAGAATTTCTGAAAAATCTACTGGTTTTGGTAGATTTGAGGCAGCTTGTGTTATTGTGTCTGTGAGTGGTGATAGGTGAACATATAGGCAGAGGAAGACATGGGAAGGCTATTCGTGATCACACTTGAAGGGAACATTTATAGTTGCAAGTACTGCCAAACCCATCTCGCTCTCTATGAGGACGTCATCTCTAGGGTTTCATTCTCTCCCTCTCTCCCTCTCTCCCTGTATGTGTATATATGTTTTGCATTTGGCTTGTAACTCTCTGAGTTTTTGATCTTCTTGTACGTGAATTTACTTGTAAATGTTGCCCAAGGAAATGGAATGTTACAGAAATGGGGCTTGATTGCGTTTATACTCTTTTTCCTGTTAGTCATAGGCGCCCATAGAACATAATCACTTACCAATACTTCACTTTGATGGGATTGGAAATTGGTGACTGCACAATTTAGCTGCACTTTAGCACTAGGTCATGGCTCCAGTTGAGTTTATACTCTCCTATTGGGAAATACATAAGTATTTTTAGGGTTTTACTATTTTAGTTTGGCCTTCATATATTCCCTGGGATGCCTAGTGAAGCTTGAATTGATGAACATTTAGTCTCTTTTTTCTCATCTTTACATGGCTGCTAAAATTTTGCATGCCTTAGGAAGCTCACATTGCTCCTGAATCCTCATATATGATGCTATTTTGGTTCTTTGCTCATTGATATGAATTTACATATAATACATAAAATATCTTGTGGATAGTAGTTATTTTATACATAGCCATATGATTTTAGCAATCACATTACTTTTCAGTGAGAACCTTGACTTTGTGATTGGAATTGATTTTTACGGTTGTTGATTTTCATTGCTTATTGAGAACCCCTTATTGGGATGTCAATTACATTTTGTTGAGAACGTCGACTTATCAATGGAATGGATCTTTCCATTTGTTTTTGATTGTTCAAAAAGAGGCAAACCTATAATTTTCGAATGGCTACAGAAAATGAAAGCATTCTTCCAGCTCCAGTTTCCACGTTTTGTTGCCTTTTGCTATATATATACTCTTTATCTTTTGTCGTTTTTGACTCACTATTCCCAAAGTTTTACATTCTATTTCTAAAATTTCTTCTTTATTTACTTCCTCATTCACATCTTGAATTAATGTTCGTGTCTCTCTCATGCTTATTCATAAGTAACCAAACCAATCATTATTTCTTTGAACTTGCCTTCAATGCTTTTGGATATGGCCGTAGTCAGACAATTTGTGTCTCTTGATGGCTGTTTGTGGGCTAATGGCCCAAGCATCGGAGGTTACTTGGAGTAAATTTTGAGCTTTCTCTGACCTGGATTTGCCCTGTTATCCAGGTTTTTTTTATTATTCTTTATTTTTTTTTTGGAGGGTGGGGGGGTGGGTGGATGGGGGTTATATTTATGGTCTCTTTTGATTCAGCAGAATTACTAACAGCATGAGATTGTCTTCATAAAAAATATGATCTACTTAATTTGTGCCCTGAGAAATCTCATTTTATTAGCCGTTTTATTTGCAAGAGGCAATGCTTTGTTATGGGTACACCATAGTCTTCATTCATTCATCCATCAGGTTCATTTTTCCTATATCCCTCATTTGGAATTTGTTTTGCATTATAGGATCATTGCCCCTTAATCTTAGATGGAAGTTTTTTTTCTGAGGATCCAAGTCCTTTGTCTCTTTGACTTATGTTGAGAAATTGTTTAGTGTGAGTGTGACTGTTGCATGTTATTTTTCTTTTTATATATCGGGGTGCCAATAAAGGGCCAAAAAATGCCTAATACACATTGGCTATTCCCATTTTTTGGTGTTCCATGGATACTTTCTCATTATTCCACGTGTAAAACATTCTCAACTTACTTGACTTAACTAATTGTATAACGTGCGTAGTTTCCATCATATGGGATGTGTTATATACTGAAGTCAGATATGCACTTGAATGTTGATAATCTTGTCGAAGATGTTTATGAGTCACTTGTGGCCATCATGACTGGTGACCAGATTGTTTGCCGTTAAGATCACTTTACACCAGGAGGTATGGTTTCCAAATAGACTTCCAGCTGTTGTAATATAAACTTTGGGGCTCCGGCTAGATGATCCCGTCTTTGCTTATTTTTGCTCCCCTATTTATGCCTGCTAGTGAATTGCCAGATGTATATCCTAACCCAGTGTTTTGTATGTGTTTGCAGACTTTCCACTGCAGGCATGGAAAGGCATATCTCTTCGAGAAGGTGTAAGTGTTCTGGGACCTTATACACATGTAGTTTACTTTACTATTTTTATATTAATGATCAGTATGAGTACATTGAAACCCATGGATGCATGAGCGTCCTTAATTTGGTGTGGAAATATGTGTGTGTGTGTGTGTTAATATATATCCTTGGAGTCCATCGTGATTATGCGTTGAATGAATGCACCATATGCCACCCATGACTGCTTCCCAATATAGTGGTAGATTGCATTACTCAATAATCAATACCCTGCTGCGCTTCTCACTTGTCTTATTCTCAATAGGATGCATTATTTTATGTCGTATGGCACATCATTTTCCCATATGAATGCCACGATTGACATCAGGCTCCTTGATACATGACAGTGTGAATGTTACCTTTGGAGAAAAGGAAGAAAGGATGATGATTACTGGAATGCATACTGTTGCTGACATCTTCTGTGTTGGGTGTGGCTCAATTGTGGGGTGGAAATATGTAAGATCTCATTTGACAAATTAGATACCGTTATCTGTTCTCATGTTGCGTGTGTTAATTGATTGAAAAAAAAAACATTTTAAAATCTCTGAAGAAGAGATCTTGACATCCTATTGGTTGAAGAATTATGTCAAAAGAATAATGCATAGTTTGGTCAACGCCAAAAATATCCCAATACAAGCCGCCCACAACTGTTAGATTAAAAAACTCTAGTTCAGATAAAAGTCAGTATAAATAACATTATATCTTTGGCTACATCCAGGAGGCTGCTCATGAGAGGATCCAGAAGTACAAGGAAGGGAAATTTATTCTTGAGAGGTATTGAAATGCTGTGTGTGGTGTTGGCGTTACAATTTTCATACACAATGTTACATATTTGTACATTTTTTTTCTGGTTGAGCAGGTTTAAGGTCTTGGGTCCTGATGGAAGCAACTACACCGTCAGCCAGGAAGCTCGGGTTGGTGGCAGTGACGCCGATGATGCTTGATTAGCCTCCCATTTTTTCTTTCTTCTTTTTGGGCTGACCATTAGGTTCAAAATTGATAGTTTGTTATTAACTGTATATACTTCTTCTCCTTCCCGTTCCCACTCTTGTCCAATCCTGCTAATTGACATCTTACTTTGGTATTTGATGCCGGCAAAAGAGACAATAGTATTTTGATAGAATATAGGCTCGATTACCAAACCCTTAGGAAGATTGCAAATTAATAACCTTATAAATCACTTTCGTTGGTCCCTCGAGGGACGACTTTCATTGCAATTTCTAGTATCAACCCGATTTTGTTGACTCAAGGAAGTTTTTTTTTTTTGGTTGAGAAAAGAACAGGAAAGTTGAGTCAAACTATGAAATTTTGACATATACAACTTGGTTCATCAATAATTAGATTTTAATTTGCATTCGATATGAATTCAAATTCCATCAATTATATATGTATTAATATTCTTTTATTGATTATTTGAATTCAAATAATCTGATTTAATTTTTTTTATCTATAAATAAGGTTATAATTAAATTTCATTTTGCTAAAAGTTTGATTGAAAAAGATTTTCAGATCAAATTATAAAAAACATTTAATTGTTTTGGCTATGAGTTATAAAAATAAAACAAGGTTCGATATTCGGATGAAAATTTTTAAATCGATTGTGAATTTCAAATTTGATTTAATTTTATTCTATTAACATACTTATATATAAGTACTTTATTTTAGAACATGTCATATTTAGATTAACATGTAAAATGTCGATACGGATAAAAATAAATGTTTAATTTTATTTTGTACCCTAAACAAACTTGTATCTTTAATTCTCAAATTATACCTGTAAAATCATTAAAAAAATCATTATGTCATTTAATTTTCCATCTAAAAACATGACTTATCTTCACGGAATATAGCAGAAAAATATGTAATAACTCTTCATTTCGACTATCAAAATATTATACACTTTTGGTATTCATACACTCCTGCAAATTTGTTGTTACGGGGCTTTGTCCTAGAAAATACCTCTTTTCAATTAAGGATAAGTATACTACATAAATAACTCGGTCACTCTCTCCCCCCGAGTCAACGTGAGATATGACGCATAAAATTATAATCACTAATGTTATTGAAAAATTGACATAATTCGAGGATATAATGAATTGTTATCAATAAAATAATAATAAAATATATTTAATATTGAGTCCCATTATAACATTAAATAAATTTTTCATTATTTCATTAATGACAACGCATTATATTATTAAATTATGTCCCAATAAAAATATTTTCTCACCTTCTAAAGTTATTGGCAAGTTACTACACTCCAAGTTCTTTAGAGGCCACGCATCCTCGTCAGGCACGCATAAATATGTAGTAATCTAGCGGAGCCCCAAACTTTATATTAGTGGGAGACCCAAAAAATAAGCAAAGATGGTGGGGGTAGGTAAAGGTTTAAGTATGACTACGACTTCTTCGATGCGTTCCCATGAAAGTGGTCGAAAAAGGTTTCAGCTGTCTTAACACAGTCTCACATGAGAAAGGAGAAGAAAGCAAGAACAAGTCACCGTCTGTCTCTCTCTCTCTCTCTCTCTCTCACACACACACATTATCAAATTGCGCGAAACAGAAGAAATCACCTTCCCCCAATATCAGTGCTGGTGAATTCTTCACCATATATATTCACCACACGTATCTACCTACATATATAAGGAGACATCTGTTTAATGGGTCTTGCCCAAATTTATTCTCACAATTTGTCTACTATCCCTTTCCTTAAAGCACCACAAACCAATACTAGGTTTTGGCATTCACACCGACTACGAAGATTTACGGTATTCGATGCCATCTTAGTGTTTCCAAAGCACTCAAAACCGAGGTTGGGGTTTCAAATTGCATTGTAATCTCTGTTTTTTAGCTCAATTAGTTATACCCATATTTATTATGCAATGGTGATTTGTATGATTGAATGGTTCAGAGCAGGTAGTGGATTGGATGCACTGAAGAAGAAATGGAAAGTTCTGGTTTTTATGGTGGGTCTCTCAAATGTGTGTGAGGGAAGTGATGGGGTTTAGTTGTTTTGGAGCGTTTCATTCGTGTAAAGAGAAGAGTGAAACACAAACAGAAGGTGAGGATATTCATGTGAATTTCTTTAAATACATATATGCTAAAGTAATGTTTTCTTGGACATCACTGAGATTTCTTTACTAGTTTGAATTAGATATATTTTTTGTTGAATTTACATAAAGTGAATGTTTGCTTGTATGCCTAGTATTCGGCATGACAACTAAACAGTAATTTTAACCAATAACTTGTATTCACAAGGTAGTCTGAAATGTCTTTAAATATCAGCCTAAAACCATACTTCATGTTGGACCTTTCAAGCTCCATTGAACCGCTCTGGGTTCAAATTTAGGTTTGAACTCGGAGTCTTGGCTTGTCTCACGCCCAAAAGGTGTGTTTGAATCTTTGAAATGCTTAGAATTTAAATTTCTAAGAAACTGGCTGTGTTTGGGACAAGCTTAGCTGAATTTGCAGGTTCCCTATACGTGTGCCACTGCTTACAAGTGTTCCTTTATTTTAGTTCCAAAATGTTCAGCTCCATGAAATATCTACTCCAACCCAAATCAACCACCGTAAAGTTGTCTCTTTTCCCATTTGTGGGCCATAATTCTTGTATGAGGTGCATATGGCATGGTGTTTTCTCTTGTTTGTATTGTTAGCAGGGTGGTTTTTGTTTATCATCATGTTACTTTTATTTATAATTACTCCTCTGAATTCACCTCACCAAGTCTTTACATGCTTGTGGGCTTGTGTTTGTGTATTGTTAGAGATTGCTACCAACAATGTAAGGCTTTTTTCCTACAATTCATTGAGATCGGCGACAGGGAACTTTCATCCGTCAAACAGAATAGGTAGAGGTGGTTATGGAGTTGTGTATAGGGTAAGTTTAAAAATGTAATGATTAAATTTGTATTTACTGCAGCATCTCTTGGGGATAGAAGTAAAAATAGAATGTCTGATATATCAGATATGTGTGCTGGCAAGCTTGTGTTCCTATAACTGTTTGGTTCATATGTGGTACTTAGCCAGCTTTCCCATATGCAATTGCAGGGAATTTTACGGGATACTACTCGGGTGGCCCTCAAGTCTCTTTCCGCGGAGTCAAAACAAGGAACCAATGAGTTCTTGACAGAGATCAACATGATATCAAATATTCGACATCCAAACCTTGTTCAGCTGATTGGTTGTTGTGTCGAGGGCAGTAATCGGATATTGTTATATGAATTTATGGAGAACAACAGCCTTGCTGGTGCTTTACTTGGTAATTATGGAAAGTTGAATGGCTGGAATGAATACAACACTCGTAGTATACAGCCTATTTAATCAATTACTAGATGACTTGCTTCTTTCTATTTTCCCCTACTCATCTCCTGAATTTGGCTACTTAACTTGAAATTGAAACTGCAATGACATTTTGGTTAGGCCAACCTTCTGCCAAATAATGGCAGTTGTGGAGGTGAATCAATGAACTTCTCCTCCTTCTGTCCCTGGAACTATTGATTTTGAGATATTTGTGTTTATAACATTAGATTAAAATGCCAGGATTTCCCAAACCATGAAGTTTTTTTCACTTGAGACATATATATATATCTCTTATGGAGCTGTAAGCTTTGAAGTTTCAGGTCAGCTAATCTGAAAGGTTTTCCATTTCAGGTTCTAAAGGTAAACATGTTCCTCTGGATTGGCCTAAGAGGGCTGCCATTTGTAGGGGTACAGCTTCCGGTCTTGCATTTCTTCATGAGGAAGTTGAACCCCCTATTGTCCACCGAGATATAAAAGCCAGTAATATACTTCTTGATGAAAATTTCAATCCTAAAATAGGAGATTTTGGGCTGGCAAAACTCTTTCCAGACAATGTCACTCATGTTAGTACTCGAGTAGCAGGAACAGTGTAAGCATAACTTCATAGCATTTATAGGTTGATTTGGTGCTACTAACTGAATTATTATCCTGCTCAGAGTAATATGACTTAAGTAGGGCTTTCCATGGCACTGAATATGTGGGTTCTTGTAAGTTAGCTGTATTTATTTGGAATTTTTTTTCGTCTGGCAACTTGGAATATGTTTTGATACAAATTTTTTGGTAGCCCCATCATATGGCCAAGAATATCTTCAATTCACTTTTATATGCCACATTTAGATAGACATAAGATGTAAAGTAAGTAGATGTTAATATGCATGCCCCTACCCACTCCTGGTGAAAAGGTGAAAAATCGAATAAAGTGACATTTAGCAGATACATAGTTTTATTTAGTTTATTTTGTTGTTTTTAACAATAATTTGCCATCCATCTACTGGTTAATTTTTAAGTTTTCTTATTTGAGAAAAGTAGCACTCGCTTCCTTCAATCTTTCTTCCTTTGTATGGCTTGCTTTTTGTGATGAATGAGATGTGATTATGTGAGTAGGGAAAATTTGAACCAAGCTTATTTCACCAAAAAACTTGTTTGGCATCCATTCCTGATATCTAACTAAATGTATATTTGTTTATTCATTACATACTCATGATACAAGCAGTTGAAGATAGTATCTGCTTTATACGTCAATATTATGCTAGGCTGAGCTATCTTGCCTTATTCTTTGTTGCTTATTTTCTGGGTCTTGTTTTTTTATTTTACATGTTTCTGCAGGGGATACCTAGCTCCTGAGTATGCTTCGTTAGGACAACTTACAAAGAAGGCAGATGTTTATAGCTTTGGGGTGCTGTTACTGGAAATTATAAGTGGCAGAAGTTGTAGTAAAGCTGCATTTGGAGAGCATCTGTTGGTTCTGGTGGAATGGGTAGGTTTTGCTAAAGCACATTAATGTGTATTTCCTTTCATTTGTTTTCTGCCATAATCATACGGTGTACACCATCCATACGCAGTTTGATCTGTGATCGTCACAATGCTCTAGCTGCTGCTGATCTCTGAGATGCCTTAGGTTGAATGTTCACAACACTTATTTTACTTATTGTCCTGCTCTTGCGACTAGTTTGTCATCAAGTTGCCAATTTGTGGGGTTAATGGGGATTCACCAACAGATCTCTCTTGTTCATAAGGAAACAAAAGTAAGCTAGTAGGGAATCTAGAATTTGTCCTTTTTTTTTTCTGATAAGAGTGTAGGTGTTGAACTAATTATCGGAAGGGGGATCACACACTTTTCCCCATAAAGAAACATTCAGTCATACAAACAACCATGCTATAGATAGGTATATTGCAACTGTCCGCTGTTCATTCTCTTATCTAGGAAATTCGTTAAAAGGCAAAGCATCGTGATACATATACAAGCTATATTATGACTATTACAAGTTGGTATTTCTGTATAAGTATCGATTGAAACATTTTTGCAGACATGGAGGCTGAGAGAAGAGGAAAGGCTTCTTGATATTGTGGATCCAGATCTGACTGAATATCCAGAGGATGAGGTAATGCGCTTCATTAAGATTGCACTCTTTTGCACCCAAGCAGCTTCTCACCAAAGGCCTGCCATGAAGCTAGTGCTGGCGATGCTTTCCAAAGCAGTTCATCTCAATGAGAAGTTATTAACAGAGCCAGGGGTGTATAGGCCTTATTATCCTCAGCAATCGGGTGGTAGTAGTAGTTTGCAGGAGACGTCATCCTCCCAGGCAAGAAAAGGCAAGCAATCGGTAAATCCTTTTGTAACTTCAACTCAGTCAGATAGTTCCCAGAGTATGACACAGATGCTTCCTAGATGATGCATTTATTTTTGTTGCGTAATTTCCATTACTTTCTCTGAAATGTCCACTTTGGAGGTCTAAATTACCTCTCTTTCCCCATTTTTCTTTCTAGAAGCATGTAAAACGACCTGTATTTTCTTTTCTTCTTTTCCAATCCTAAATTGCTATTCGGCTCACCATGTTTTCGCGGTTGCATTTGGCCACTTGTTGTCTCGTTGTTTACTGATTCGAGGGTTTTGAACAGATTTAATGCCTACAAGGTATACATTTCTTGGCCTTTTGGCTAAATCTAGCAGGATCCAGTCATTTTCTCTAAGGTCAAAACTATGTCATGAATTTTGGATTTTCTTGCTTTGAAATGGTAGTTAACATCTGATGGACCATCACCGACATTGAAGTTTGCAAGCGATAACAAGGTTGATGGTTGTGAACTACATTTGAAAGTGGTAGTAATATCTTGTTAACAAACGTGAGGTTGTTGATTTAAGTCTGACCGTCATATATAGCATGCAGAAAAGAGGTTTAGTTTAGGATGACTGTAAAATTTAAAAAGTACTTCTTAAATAAGTATAGGCGATGGTGGGCGGTGGTGGTGGGTTGTGGGTAGTGGTGGTGGTGGATGGCGGCAATGGGGGTGGCAACGGATGATGGTGATGGTGGGTGATGGGATGATAGTGGTAGTGATAATAAATATAAGAATGAAAAGTATTTTATGGAGAAGTGATTTTAAGGAAATAAAGTTTTTTTTTTTTTACTTTTACTTAGTGAAGTGGTAAAATTGTATTTGACTTATTAGGAAGTAATTAAAATAAGTTGTTCTAAACATTTTTTTTTTTTTAAAAGTGCTTATGGAAAATCATAATTAATAAAAATACTTTTAAAAATCATCCCAAATGCTCTCTTAACTTGGACAAGAATAGAGTGAACTCCAAACCTCCTGGATTAGAGGGAACCAAACTGGGTCGAGTAAACGATATACATTGTTGCCAGTCATCTTGTAGAAAATAACAGAACTGATACAACATCCTAGTAACCTGTTACAAGTCTAGAGCTCTGTCAACACGACTCATAAGATGCAAAGAAGGTTTATATTGCAGTAAAAGCTTCATTGTCACTCAGTAGATCAGAGCCAGATAAATGTTAGAAGAGGCCAATTTGAATGACATAATAATCATGAAAATAACCCCGCTCCGCCCCCCACCCCCCCCCCTTTTTTTTTTTGTTTGGGGGGGGGGGGGGTGTGGTTCAGAGAAAGCTCAAAAAAAGCCAACACAATGAGGACAAAATTAACAGCATGCTATACAATGAAGCAGAGGAAAAGACATACAAGAGCAATAGAACTTACATTGATCCTACGAAATATAAGAGGCACAGGCTGCCTTTTTAACATCAAAAAAGCCACCCAGAGTTCTAAACTATATAATAGTACTGACTGCCACACTAGAATTTTAATATCGTACAAACTCTTATCTAAGTATCTAATGAAAATTGTTTTTTACAAGAAACCACGTTCAGCTAGTAGCCACTCACTTTGACCCATCCACTAAAGCCTCAGGAGGTGGAAACAGAAGCTGGCTTAGCAGTAGCACCAGAACTAGGAGGTGATTGACCAGTTTCAGCAGGTTTGCCAGATTCTGGTGGTGGTGGCGGAGGCCTCATGTGGGGAGGTGGGTTATGCTTAAGCTTCACAAGTATTTGACGCATCCTTGAAAGATCTGTTGGCTTCCCCGGCTTGGGCCCTTGGATTACGACAATGGATGGATTCTTTTCTTTATCCTTCTTCCCCCTTTTCTCTATGGTTGGAACTTCATTGGGAATCAGATCTCCTATTGCCTTCCAGTAATTCTTGCTAGCTTCGACATGGAACTTCTCTCGGCTTTCCAGAAATAGCTGACAACATTGTCCAAGTTAAACAAGCATATAGTGTGCCATTGGAACACAGTTTTAACATAAGACTATCAAGCAAAAACAGCTAGTAACTAGCAAATAGAGCTTCAATGTGGGTCCACCGAACAGATTTTCTGGATATAAAAAGACCAGTTCCTGCCACTCAGTTGATTCAGAATGAAGAAAACTATATATATAGGAACGCTAATGTCGCCCATAACGGATGCTAGCTTTCTGCACATATAAGGAAATTTAGGAGGAAATAAAAACAAATTCTTTATACCCATGTGTGAATATCAATGTTGCCAGAAAATATGTGAAATGCAAGAAGCATCTTCCCATTTCTAGATTTGGTTGCATCGGGACCATTACTCACCAAAAAATGCCATTAAAATCAGTGTTATTGCAAAACAATTATTTTCTAACAAAATCACGAAAGTTTCCCCATTTTCTATTTCCTCGAAACCGTAGTAAAAAATTGATTGTCCTAATTTATAAACAGTACCCAGTACAAGCCTCAAAAAACAGAGGGTCAGAAGCTTTTAAATCAGTGATTGCATTAGCATATCAAATAGGGAAGAGATTTCAATGATAAATATTAGATAGGCACATTGGATTGTATACTGACAACACTATCATTTGAGAAAAAAAAAATTGCTAGTTAAAAAAAGGGGAAATTAAATAAAATAGAAGTCTTGAACAAAAAAATAAAATAAAATAGAAGTAACTGCTAAATTGGCAACTCATTTTTTCCCCTCTTAAGTCTCACCTTATCCTTCTCCCTGTTAGAGGCTCTGCTGTTTTCACACCTGAGATTCCACTTTCTATAGAACTCAGCTCTATACTCATCTGCTTCCTCAATTATTTCCCTCAACATTTCCTTCTCCATCTTCTCCTTCTCCTCCAATCGAATCGCATTATGTCTGCACCATCATCATCAAACAGAACAACACAACCAATTCTAAGAGATAAATACATAACAACATTCAAAATAGATATCGATATATAACTATAACTATATATACATGGTTTACATAAACCTTCAAATATTTCTACCAATAAATCCGCGCCAATTAAAACGAGCAAATAATAATAAAAATGCAATTTAACAAAAACACACACACAGATGTCTGCTCTGATCAATTTTTTTATTTTTTTGGTTCAACGGCTAATTTAACCGCACCTCAACTAATTCTCTTTCCAATTCAATAAAAGATAAACCCAAGGGATTGCAAAAATTTGAATTCGAATTCAAATTCTGGATGTTTGAAAGGATGTTTGAATTTACAGTTCTTTGTTCTTGTTACCAATTCAACTTCTCATTAGGGTTGTCTAGGCTGATCAATCACCACAAAAGTATATAATCAATTCATTGGAAGAAGGAGCACCTGGGAGAACATCTCTACTGACAAACAACTTCAATAGTACGGGTGCTGCCGTGCGGCGAATAAAAAAGATAAAGTTATGTGGTAGGACCATTGTTCCATCTGTTCGAGTTTTGCTTCGCTTCTCTAGGAGAGAGGCACATATATCAATTACAAACACAAATATTTGAGTAATTACACTAACGTCCACATATAAATCCATAGAACAAGAAAAAGAAATAGAAGTAAATAACAGTTACAAACGCACCTGCGCCACTCTCTCAGAGCAAAACCCTCTTCCGCCTGCATCTCGGTCGGCGGAGGCAGAACCGGTTCATTACCATTCCGCTCCGGCGATAATCCGTCTCCGGCAGGGTACAGAGGTTCTGTCATCACCGAACCGAACACATCATCTCCGGCGCTGTACGGAGAATTCTCGTCAGCTTCCTTGACTACCTCGGCGTCAGCGTAGGTGGAGGAGCCAAAACGCTGCGAGTCAAAGCGTTGAGACGAAGGCCGAGGGCCGAAGCCGGTGTACCCGTCGTCTTCGTCGTCGAACGGCCGAGACATCGAGCCGGCCGGTGACTCGCCACCGAAAGAGCCGGTGAATGATGACATGTCACTCCCTCCTATTCTCTCTCTCTCCCTAATCCCAGTGCGATGCGTCAGTTCCTTCGTCGAATGTATCGCCAAGAAAAGCAATTAGTGTAAGAAATGGGAATAAAATCAGGCGCGTTCAGGTGCATGATAGGAATAATAAAGGTCAAACGTTTGACAAAGTTCTTGATGGTAAATGACACTTTGCAACCTGAAAGATATTTAAATTTTTAATTGACATCGTAAAAAATTAAAAATTTTAGGTTATTCCCTTAATCAGACAAAAACAAATGTCCGCGCGAGACTCATTCTTTACTAATTTTTAGGACCGACTTGCTACGTACAATCAAGTACTAAAATTAGAACTTAAGAAAAACAGGAAAAATACAAGAAGTTACATTATTTATTATATGGCCCCAAAACAACCAATCAATTGCTTTATGTGATAATTTTTTGTGCTGAAGTCTTTATATTTTTTTAATTTTTATTCTCAATTATTTGTATATTTCTCAATGTCAAGTGTTTTATATAAAAATTTGATTCTCAATTTTATCAAAATTAATGATGCACAAATTGGTCTCGTATAAGAACAATAGTCGAGTATGTGAAGGGGTGTAATTAATGAATAGTAAATAAGATAACTAATGGCAAAACAGTAAATATGAGCAACACACACAAATATATAGTGATTCGGTTCGGATAACTTACTCCACTCTCGAAAAACGACAACGGTGGTCAGAAGTCTTTATTGATGAATAAAGTAACCGGGAGACAGCTCCGGGAGAGTTACACTAATTAGGAGAAAGAAACTATGTGTGTAGGGAGGTGTAGAGAGACAAAACTCAATGTGTAAAGATGTGTGTTGGAAAAGATAGATGTCTCTCAATGTGGAAAGAACTTACAATATATAGATTTGGTGAAGCGGTGATGTGAGTGAGAGGGCACTATTTCTTTGGTAAGTACAATTAAGGTAAGATCGATTTTCATGAGTGCATATCCTGATAATCTATATCTCACGTGCTCTTATCTTCCCGAGCTCCTTATATCTTAAACTGAGTTGGACCGATAATGCAAGTTTGAACTGTCTTTTAGTTGATTTGGGCTTGTTTGATTCATTGGGTCTGGACCAACTAGATCAAGGTTCGTCAAAAACAATTCATATTGTTACTTATTTATGTGATTGAGAATGTAATTTAAAAATTTTAATCTTTTAAGGGGTGAATTAAAAATTAAAAATTATTTTAAGGTATAAAATATAATACACCTAAGTATTTGGCACTTCGGCTTCTTTTGGGCTATGAAAAAAGTGCCATCAATGACGATCCCCAGATTGAAAAAGAAATTAAAAAAAAAAAAAAAAACAGCGCCGCCGGTTAATTTACCAGCAATATTGGTCATGTGTGTGACGTGTGAGAGGCATTTTTTTTGTTTTTTTGTTTTTTTTATCAATTTTCATACATCTCAACTAAATAATAATTAGTTCAACTAATCATTTTTTTGATCCGATTAAATATACAAAAATTAAGATATTTACGAGAGATAAATCAATTATAAACTCCTATTACAATTCATGAAAAATGTGCATAATAAAACATAATTGAAATATCTCTTAGAGCACGTTTGGATAAGTGTAATTTTAATTGTGAACGGGTATTTCATTCTTATTAGGGTGGGACTATTCACACCTCACAAATCTCTATTTCTATCCTATTTAATTTTTCGTTATCAAATTACTAAATTCACTCATTCTATACCCTCTCCATTAGTAATTAAACTTATCCACATGTTACATTCATTCTATTAATAGTTAAATTCATTCATCCTATGTACACTCTTTTGATGAAAAAAATTATCGTAAAAAAAATAATAAAAAAAGATAATTAATTTGAATTTATAAATATATTTATGAAACAAGAAAAACAAAGAAACAAGTAAAACTAAAACAAAACAAATAAAGTAAAATAAGCATGTCAAAACAAGAAAAAAAAATGAAATAAGGAAAAATCATAAAGAGAGGAGCAACCCGAAACAAGAAGGAAAAAAATTAAGCAAAGATTAAAAAAATAAGTAAAACTATAAGATGCAATATCACAAGACGCAATATCGAATATGAAAAAAAAAATAAGCATCAAACACAAATACAAGATAAAAAAGAAAAAGTAAATAAAACCACAAGAGAGAAAAACCGAACATGAAAAAAAAAAACAAGTATCAAGCACAAGCACAAAATTGAACAAGAAAAAAAATAAGCAGCATAGATGTAAAATCTAAACAAGATAAAAAAGAAAAAATAATCTCAAAGCATACATATGTATACACACATATAAATTCTAAATAAAAAATTATTAAACTTGATAGAAATATCAAAACATACCGAAAATAATGAAAAATTCATATAACAAACATGAAATCAAACATATAATTAAATTGATAAGTAATATTAACTTGTATCTTATTGAAAAGATTCAAATTTAAAAAATATTTTTGTGAGTATATGAGATGAGATAGAGAATGAAACTTTTATTATGACAAAATATAAAATGAATTTACTTATTAAAGGGGGTGTATGTAGCATGAGGTGAATTTAGTTACTAATAAAATAGGTGTAGAAGATGTGGACTTAATAGTTTGATAATGAAAAATTAAATGATACGGGAATGAAGATTTATTGAGTGAGAATAGCTCCACCCTTCCTATTAATGAGACACTCGTGTTTCAATTACCATAATAATTTCATATTTAATGTTTATTTATTGTCAGTAATCTAGTGTGAGAATTAATGTCTTTGTCAAGAACATAATTTTAGAAAAGATACGGATTTTAAGAGAATAACTTAATTTTTGAAATGAATTTAATTTTAGAAAAGAGTTTCATTTTGAAAATTTTATTTTATTTTTATAATATACCCAATCAACGTAGGTATGAGATTGTCACCATTAGCCATGAATTTAGATACCCACAATTATTAGGAATTGGATTACGGTAATAGTCTTATCCCCATATTAAATTACTAAATAATTAACTATTTACATATAGCAATTCAAGATTTAGGATGAAAACCTTATTTTCAATCCAGATTAATGTATCAAATGGGCTTTAAAGATCTAGAACTTTATTGTTTCCTTGTAGTTTATGGATCATGTAGAGATAATGTGCAGATTTAAAGGGTGTAAAATATAGTTCACTATTTACCCTTAGTATGCGTACTAGCACACAATATATCAGCAACAATTACAAGTGATAGAGTTGTATGCTATGGCTTAGATGAATATGACATATGATAAATCTTAGAGTGAAATTAAATGCAACTCATAGACGGATATGTATATTTGAATCTTGATAATCTTTAGAGTTAGGTCACAAGGAATTTATTTTTTATAAATATTTTAATTTTGAAGTGGGTGGTCTGTCTTTCATCAGACTAGAAAAAAAAATTCGTTGAGGTCTTATAAACTGATTCAAACATTCTTGTCCGTTAATCCAAAAAAAAAAAAAAAGATACGTATGAACATAATTTATTGATCCCAAAAGCAACACCCATGGATTGTTTGGCGACTTGGTGATTTCCGCCGAACTCTTGCAAAGAAGTTGAAGATCGAAGGGGTTCCGAGGATCGGCCCTTCGATGATTAAGTCGGTAAAGGTAAAATGAATTGACTAGAATTGAGCTGTGAGAAATTTCTTACATGGTTCCTAGCTTACTCCTTAGGCTATCAGCCTCTTTTACGGTTCAAGTTTTTTCAACTACTTTTCAAAGCAGGTGCCCCAGAAAGGGAAAATTCATTTTCAATAGCTAAAGTTGGTTTGAACTATTATCTTGGGATTGAAATAGCAAATTGATGATGCAGTTAAAATTTATCGGTGAGATGTATCTCATCAGATTGCACACCCCATAGGCCTTGCACCTCGTCGCATGTCTTGGGCGTGCACATGCTTTTCTTTTAAAGTCAAATTCATATCCATCATGATTTATCCGCAAAAAATACATTATAGATTCCAGAAAAAATCCTCAATTCAATAATTAAGCATGATAAAGTTGAAAATAGAGGATAAAAATCATTTCAAATACTATGTCTAACTAGGTACGAATAATGAACAATGTATTTTGAACTTGGTCTACCATAATTCGTCGGGTTTATTTGCATGTTTATTTTTTGGGGGGTTTAAATTGAATTTATGATATCTTCCTAAATTCAGCCTCAATGATTTATACATGGAATTACAATTTTTTTTAATCAAATCCCTTGTTTGGTAGATGATATAAATTCATGTGGAGTTCATGAATTTATGTCAAATTATACTACTCAATTTGCTAAAATGACCATTATTAGATAAATAAAAAATAAATTTTTGGAGTCAAATAATATTTTTATCTACAAATTCACCCTTTCTATTTTGAAACCCTCCATGAGTTTTATCAAACCCCTTTTTGTGGGTTTTAATCAATTATTCACTATGGACTTAGATGAGCCGGAATTCATTTACCCCATGAATCTAAAGCATTAAATTTTAAACCAAATACAAATTTAAAAAACATATTATATTTTTTTCACAAAATTCATCATTTAAATCACATCCTACCAACACATGCTCATTAGTGTCCTAGAGTCCTCGTGTTACTCCTGCCATCCCATATTGAGATGGACAGGATTCAAACCCCCCACAGTCTCCTCTAAAATTGGTGAATATATGCAAACAAAATGCTTACCAACAAAAACCATACGTGCTAGTTTAAGCTCAACTCGCCATTTTCATAATTTATTTATATTTTTTGGTGAACTATATAAATATAATTTTTCTTTGATGGGCCATAGTTTTATGGATTGGTCTACATCCCATGGACCTACCTAGCCCCAGAAGTCATTATAGATCAAGGGCCGAACCATACACCCGAAAAAATTATACTATTGTTGAATCATTTGCATGTACGGTACGGATTGGTCTCTGCTGCAAGATCATATGGGCTTTTAGGAATGGGTAGGTGGGACAATATGGGCTGTTTGGATGGATTTTTAGGTAGAGTTTGGATGGATTTTTAGGTGGAGTTTGGATCGGTTTTTTTAAATTTAAATATCTCTTTATAAAAATAAGATTTAATATTGAATTCTGTCTATATTTATATTTGATATGTAACACATACACATGTAATACTTACTGATATATTATAATTATTAACAATCAATGACTATTTTGTCTCTTGATCAATCCAATTCATATCCATGTCAAGTGATACAATTATCTTTTGCATCCTTAATTCCTTAACCCATCTTCCCAAATCCACCCCTTAGGTTTGACAAAACTTATGATCACGAGTTTAATTTATGAGCCAGATATAAAAATCCATGATTGAATTTTTAATTCAAACATGAAATTTGAAGATCATTTTAACTATTTTCTCCAAATTTTAGACACCAATCTCCCCAAACCCACAAAATAATGCATGCCCAACAATATGTCACCATTTTGGGGTTGATTTTAGTTAATTAGGGTGATAAATAGGTCAATTATTAAATATGTCAAATAAATAAATTGATATAAGTTAATTTAAATACGACTTATATATAGCATAAATTGAACTCAATCTTAACTAATTTGGGTAATAATCGTGTCAATAAATTAAACCCGTCAAATAAATAAATTAACACGAATTCAACTATCACTTATATACAATATAATCCCAAGTAGATATTATTTTAAATAAAATGTATATAAATTGAATAAGTTGGTACCGGACCTTCATTTACCGTATTTGTCATTGTTTTTATCACTGTTATCATACCAAAAAAAATAATAAAAATTATTACTACTATAGTGATAATAATATCTACATATATGATAAAAATAATTACAGTAGTGATAAAAATTTCTATAATATTCATAAAAATATATATATATATTTTTTATTATAAAATAACCTACAAAAAAATATAAAAATTGAAGTTACGGTTCAAATTTTTTTTCTCACGGACCTTAGTCAAGTCCTAAAAACACATAAACCTATTAATTAGTCCTAAATCGTGGCCCATCTCACTCTCACTTTACCACGTCTGCGGCAAATACGTACGGACAAGGGTTGGCATTTCCGTTATTTCAACCAAATCCAACACCACATGTAACCGATCGATCCCTCTCCCTCTCCCTCTCCCTCTCCCTTCTATAAATATAGACTTTCCGCTCTGTTGTTTGAAACCGCTGGTGGAGGAGGGAGAGAGAGGTTGAGAGAGAGCGAAGGTGTGGAGTGATATGATAACTCACTTCACCAATTCACAGGAAAATCCTTACTTCTTCATCACATTTTCACAATCTGCCATTAGTCTCTCTATTCAGTACCTTTGATCTTGAATCAGAGTGAAGTAAAATGAGTCGTTTAGGGCTTAAATCGGTGGTTTACCATGGGGACTCGTGCTTGGGAGAGCTGGACACTGTTCCGGTAAAGGACCAGGATTTCCAGTTCCCAAACAACGAGATTCGAATCCACCACATCTCGCCAAAAAGCGAGCGATGTCCTCCTCTCTCAATCCTCCAAACAATTTCTTCATTTTCCGTTCGCTGCAAGCTCGAATCGAATTCTTCTGTTGAACAATCTCAATTAATCAATCTTCACGCGTCTTGCTTCCACGAACTCAAGGTCTCCTACGATTATGCTTATGTATTGTGATTTTTTATAATATATAGGCAATTTCGTGTTTGTTTTCATTTTCAGAAGTTTTTATCTGGTTTTACAGACGGCTGTGGTGTTGGTTGGAGATGAAGAGGTGCATCTAGTGGCAATGCCGAGTAAGAAGAAGAAGTTTCCGTGTTTTTGGTGCTGTTCAGTGCCGTCCGGTTTGTACACGGCGTGTTTGGGGATGTTGAATTTGCGGTGTTTGGCGATTGTGTTCGACCTTGATGAGACTTTGATTGTCGCGAACACGATGAAGTCGTTTGAGGATAGGATTGATGCTTTACAGGGTTGGATTGCCCGTGAAAATGATCCAATTAGGGTGTCGGGGATGTCGGCTGAGCTGAAACGGTATGTGGAGGATCGGGCATTGTTGAAGCAGTATACGGAGAATGATTGTGTCAAGGATAGTGGAAAGTTATATATGACTCAGCATGAGGAGGTTGCACCGTCTTCCAGCGGACATGAGAAGGTTGTTCGGCCGGTTATAAGGTTGCTAGAGAAGAATATAGTGCTTACTCGCATTAATCCGGAGGTTAGAGGACCTTGTGGATGATATCTCATTATCGGTTATCTATATCATCAATTACTCTTGTTTTTTTTATGGAGATGTCTTGTTTGATGATTTGTTGGTTTATGCAAATCGAAAGTTTAGGTTGATTGAGGCGACGAAATAAGCAATTTTCCACGTTTCATTTGCTAACAACCTAACGTAACTTTTACATAGAAACGTGCAGATACTTGGTAGATATTCAGCTCTATTTTCAATGTTGAGCACCTTATGATTAGTGCACTTATATGCCTTCGAATGAATGTGCCACTTGGAATCCTAATGCACTTCTATTTGTTCTTGTGGAATCATGTTTTTTACATTCATTTTATGTTTCAATTGCTTAAATGTTTGGATTTTTTTCTTTCTAAAATGTCCTGTGATATTTTTGGATTCTTTTTCAGATTTTCAAAACTATGATCAATCGTCTTTCTTACACGTGTGAAAAGATTTAATAATCTTTGAATGAAAAAAAGACAAGGTTAAATATTTAAGAGAATTTAAGGATTTGGACATGCGGTAAAGTTTTTTGGGGTTTGTAAATTGAAAGAAACTTGATTTAGAAATTGTATTGAACCTTGAAGCAAGAACATTATTTGAGTGTGCAGCTCCAATAATATGATTCTGCCAATCAAACAAATTGAATGTTTGACGTCATTAGACTAGCTTCATGTGCAGCTTTATTTGTCTATTGCTTGACCCAATAATTGGGATATTGAAATGGTTTGCAACCATGCTCACATGCTGCAATGATACTTCACATGAAATGGAATTAATACCCGATTTAGAACTACATGAGCTATGCCATGGTTGCATCATGTTGTCGTTTGGGTTTACCTATTGTAAGGAAAAGGCTTTGTATGGTGCGTTTTCTTCCCCCATAAGGTGTTGGTGGTAGCTGAAGCATTCTGTTGTTGACTGGGTAGCTGAAGGAGAGTTTGTCATATTGTTTGTCTTGCTGGATTAAAGCCACTATTTTGGCTTTTGTTCTTGATTGTAATTTTTTGATTCGTGTAATTTTTTCGTTTCAATCAATAAAACTTTTCCTTTAAAAAAAAAAGGTGGGTTGCATCATGTTGTGAGCAAGTGTTCATAGCAATTCTAGCCAGATGATGCTAATTTGATGATGGTTTATTTTCTGTCAAATAGCTTAAGCTCCCGATGTCACCATGTTTATGATGTAACTTACTGAGTGCATATTTTTTCCTCAGATGTAGGAGGTGTGCATTGATGGTTGCTGTTTGCATTTTCTCCTGCCAAATCTACTTGAACAATTTATATTGCTATAATCATTCAAATATTTCACCAGTAGACTATTTATTTTTCATAAGAAGGAATACTGAACCACTTTCGGAAATTTTGTTGGAACTTAAATTGAAGATAGATTATCTAAGGGATTTGTAGGATTAAGATACTGTTTTTAATGTTGCAATGGGGGTGGATGATTACATGCATGGCTTGTCTTTTAAAATTGATTTGTTTATGCTCCAGTTTTTCAAAAGTTGTAATACCTCAGATTTTCTTTTAGTGATTGGTTGTTTACACGTGCAGATCCGTGACACTAGTGTGCTCGTTAGGTTACGTCCTGCTTGGGAGGATCTGAGAAGTTATTTAATTGCGAAAGGGCGTAAAAGGTTTGAAGTCTATGTCTGTACTATGGCTGAAAGGGATTATGCATTAGAGATGTGGAGGCTGCTTGACCCAGAGGCACACTTAATTAGCTCAAACAACCTATTGGACCGTGTTGTATGCGTCAAATCAGGCAAGCACCATATAACATATCGAGGGGTTATGTTGACAGCGACATCTGTTCAAAGTTTAAGATTTATTTATTTGTTTGATAATTTAATACCAGCCAGAACTTGGAACTACCAAAAGATATTCTTCCTTCGGTTTTTGCTTTTAGATTGAAGTTAATAATTCCGCATTGCTTCTGTTGTTCTTGCTCTATTTCTTATAAGGAACCTCTTTTTTTACCCTGCGAGTATTATTTGATCCGTTAATGTTTTCTTTGTCATAGGGGCTAGGAAGTCTTTGCTTAATGTGTTCCAAGTTGGCAACTGCCATCCAAAGATGGCAATGGTAATTGATGATCGCTTGAAAGTTTGGGAAGAGAAGGATCAACCTCGAGTTCATGTAGTCCCTGCATTTACTCCATATTATGCTCCTCAGGCAGAGGTATTATTTTTTCTCTTTCCTTGAGCTTGTGAGGAAATTGATTAGCATTTTTGTTGAAGTGATACTAATAGAATAATTTTCTCAAACAGACCGCAAACGCTGTCCCAGTCCTATGTGTAGCGAGAAACGTTGCATGCAATGTTAGAGGCGGCTTTTTCAAGTAAGGGCAATTTCATCATGTATAATTGAGGCTTTTAGTTTGAAGATTAAGCAGTTGGCACATGATTGTCATAATTTTTTGAAATAATTTGTTGTGCCGCACATGATATACATTTATTTGCTGTGTTAATCAGAGAGTTTGATGAGAATCTATTACGAAGAATTTTCGAACTATTCTATGAAGACGAAGTCACAAATTTACCTTCTGCACCAGATGTCAGCAACTACTTGATGTCAGAGGTATGAATTAACTATATTTGATGCCTAACCTGTTGATGAAAATCGACATATATGTTTGTGTGCTATCATTGCTTTTAGGATGCTAGTTTTGTACCAAATGGCAATCCAAATACTCCTTTTGCTGAGGGAATGAATGGTCCTGAAGTTGCTCAGAGATTGAGTCAATTGGTAAGTATCTATATGTTTGTTTTTTAACATCCCAGTATGTGTCTTCCGCATGCCTTCTGTTAAATATTTGACTGGCACATTGGTATATGTCTTTTAGTAGTTCTAAAGGTCTTCTAAAGGTTTTTAGAGATTGAAGACTGGCACGTTGACATGCATGTTTTACTAGTTCTGAAGGTTCTTAGAGATTGAACCAACTGATAGGCCTCTGTGCATTTGTCTTCTATTGGCATGTCATGTGTGCATTCTGTGTATTACTCTTGTCTTGTTAACCAAAAAGTTATTTAATCACATATTTTTGGTACATTGCAATATTTGATGTGTGTTTTTTTATTTATTTATATTAGTATGTGCATGTAATTTTTATATGTTCTAGTATGAGAAAAATGTTGCAGATTGGTCACTCATCTTGTTTTTCACGCTCTACTTCCATTTTCTGGTATCATTTAAAACATCCAGGATGACAAGAATGTCACAGATGCTACCACTCATCCCAGCACTAGTCCTGAGCTAAGATCTGACATCTTTCAGCTCCCGGTGTCATCCATACCAAATGTATTTGGTCCAGCATCCTTAAGAGCAGTCCTACCTTCAGAGAGTATGGATGTTATTTAATTCACATCTTATGGTTTAGTTGTGGTTTCCAAATCAAGATATACAGTACCAGATGTAATAATGTTGCTTTTTTGCCATATTTTTTCTCTGGGAATTTTTTATAGAACCTAGCTTGCTAGGAGCTCCATTTAGACGAGATAGCAGTTTCTCTGAATCTGATCCTGATGTGAAGAGGAGATTACTCTTGATGAACCATGGTCAAGATGCACGATATCGGGGATCAGGGGAACCTCCTATTTTATCTAGATTACCTGCACAACCACCAGCACCACCTATACAAGCACAAGGAGGCTGGTTAGTGGAAGAAGATATCAATAGAGGACATTTTGATAACCGAGCATCAGGATTTGGTCCGGAATCTGATGCATTAAGAATTGATAAAGCACGAGCTCGTCATAATTCAATTAGTTATGGACCATCAGCTTCTACTCCTGTAGGGTTAGCATCACAAGTAGCCCAAGCGAAGACCGAAGAGGTTCGTGCTCTCTTACTTGCGTTGCATTTGTTTGAGGGTATCGACTTGCATCTTTTGACAATCATGTACAGGTGTCATTCGCAGAGTTATAACCATTATGTTATCTAGCTGAATTTTGTTTATTTGCAGGCAGGTCCAGGGCATGAAATGCAGAAACAGAATCTTCCGGTGGCGAGTCAGTTTTCAGGTACTTGAGTATATCAGTAATTGCAATTAATTTGCTTGTCCAGCAATTTTGGTGCTGGTTCCTATGTTACATGGATTCGCATAAGGGTGTGGGTTGGTATGTGTGTACGTATTGGATTCATCTAATCTCCAAATCTGGTTGTAGGGCATCGGCCAAAAAATTATATTTTGTGGTATTGTTCATCTTGCTGGGGTGATATGCTGTTCTATGCAACATGAAGTGTTCGAATTGGGCAGTTCACTCACTTCAAAGCATTTAGGCAACAAAAGCAAGATGTAAAGAGAATGTTGTGTACACTTGTAATAAATCTCAATTGCGGGAATATGCTTTTCAAGTCCATACCTTATAGGAAGTGTCGGATGCATATCCTATGCCTTTCCCAAGTTTCGAGTGTGGAACATGGGTGATCATTCACCTGTTAGTTGTGGGTGACTGGAGGTACCAGTTGAGCTGGCTTGTTGTGGAGAAGAATTTTTGCACACCCATGCTGCTAAGAACATCGTTGAATGCTGGTTATCTATTCCTGATTCAAATTTGAGTCTTGTAAGTGAGTGATATGTGCATTGGCAAAATAATTAGCTACTAGAACAGATGGATATAGCATAGGAGTGTGTAGTACTTGACCCATATAGAGACATTTTATCTGGATATGGACGCCAACACACTTTCCAAGATGACACGATATCTATGTGGAATATAAACAAGACAGTGGCGCACACCTCTGCTGGTGCAAACAGTGAATCACATTCACGGTGTTCTTGACTCAAGAAAGCCTTTGTTCTTCCTCATTGTTTATACAATTATACTATTTCCCAAATAGAACAATGCGGTTAAGGTTAACCTCCATTTTAAATCAATTGATCATATGCATAGTGAATCGTATGGTGAAACTTTAAAAACTTTTGCGAACTGATATAAGAAAAAAATCTTTTTTGGGGTAAGAAATGAAAATGACTCATGAATCTCCACAATACCGCTGATACATATCAGCTATGCTTCTTTGTGCAATTGTGCTAATTATAATGCTTTTCTACGATTAATTTTTTGTAGTCGTAAGACTTTGATTTGCTGCTTATTAGGCCAGGTTTAGGTGGTCATTATTCATATTTCACCCAAACATACTTCATCCTTTGGATGGGCTACCTTTACCAATTTGTTCAATTTGTTCGATTTTCACATGTTTCCCACTGAGTTCTGGTTCCCGGTATCCTATTTTTTAATTGATTAGGATTTCTGGTGAAATGTTGGAGCTTTTGTGACAATTTTCCCCTGTAGACGGTATATATTAATTCTTTAGGTAAAAATTGGATGTTTCCTTATCATTTTTGAAAATTTTAACGTGTTCTGTTTTTCATCTTCTTCCCCTCCTTATTAATGTGATCAAATACTGCTTGGTTCATTTCTTCTTGCAAAAGCCTTAGGAGTCTACCTAGGGTTCTTCTCTGAACAAATTGATTCATCTGATCTCTATGACCTCCTCCCAATGCATTAAATAATGTGTAGGGCTCCAACTGTAACACCCCTCTATCTCTCTCGTGTGTGTAGTGTACAAGTGCACCAAGGCATCTTGTATTAAGTATTACCACAGTAGATACTTCCCCTGCCCAGGCTGCAACTGGCTTGGCATTAATAAAGAAATGCAATGCTTGCTCTAGTTTCTCAAACTTGAATCGGTAAATACCTTCAAATTCAAATACGGTTTTAGCAGGGACCATGTGAATCATTGGAAAACCAACCTGCTTTATACCAGGTCGTCTCATTACAGAGTCAAGTAACCCCAGGAAGACCAAACATGAAATTCTGCAACTGGCTTGGCATTAATAAATAAGTGTTTTGCTTGCTTTATTTTTCAACCTTGTATTGGTTAATAACATTCAATATAAAGATGGTGTATTAGCAGGGACCATGTGAATCATTGGAAAACCAACCTTCTCTATAATAGCTTGTTCCATGACGGAGCCAAATAAAATCCTGGTTTGCTTTGTTTGTTTAGGCCACAACATTATTCATCACTTGCCTAAGCTTTCTGTAAATGCTCAGCACAATCAGAATACTGAAAGCTTCATATTCAGTGGTTTTTAGTCTTTTTGTGTAGTAACGTGCCATGCTTGACAACCAATTTTTCTCTTTGTTGAGTGGTTTGCTTGGTTTTTTGGCAGAGGCTGGTGTGTCTCAGAATCATGCGTCCTCCAACAGCAAGGAACTTCCCACTGAAGGTGGAAAAGTGAACTTGCTTCCATCTTCTCTGTCTATTGGAGTGCTGCATGAAATTGGACGCAAATGCAGCTCAAAGGTAAGCCAAATGTGTCCATTACTGCGCACATATTGTCCGTCTTTGCCTTTTCTTTTTTTCTTTTTTTAACCCTGTGGTTCATCATGTTGTGTCTTGCCATGTAGGTTGAATTCAAGTCTATTGTAAGCAGCACGAGTGAGGATTTGCAGTTTTCTTTTGAGGTTAGTATGGGATATCTCCAACGATAATTGTGTGATAAACCCAAGTGCCCCATCCCCAACACCCAACGCACACATCCTCATATGAACAAAGACATCCCTCTGATATAACCTTTATGGCCGAAATTACTGAGGATAAGAACATGAGAAATTAATTGTGACTTGGTTCTTGGGTGTTCGAACAATGAAAAAAGGTTAATGTCATGGTTTTAGGTTTGGTGACATATATTTCCTTCGGAGTTGAATTGATGTCATCTCACCATTTGCCAAAATTTGATTTTGGAAAGCCTAAAGGTCAGTCTATGTTAATTTGAACTTTTGTTAACTCAATAACTCAATAGTCTGAATCATTGGTGTAGGTTTTGTTTACTGGTGAGAAAATTGGTGTTGGAATGGGTAAAACAAGGAAGGATGCTCAGCAACAGGCTGCTGAGAATGCCCTCCGCAGCTTGGCTGGTAAGAATGTTTTATAATCTACTTTTCTCTATTCGCTTTTGCTATATATAGTTCTTGTCACAGAATCCTTCGAAATTTGACACTTCATCATCTAGGTTGAATGTAATTACAATATTTAGTGTAGAAATAAAAGTGCATCTTATTTTGTGGTTCATAAAGTATCTTGGACCCTTGTTTCTTACTGTAGGTTTGTCATTTGTTTTACTGCATAGAACAATGTCTTTTAGAGGGTAAATAACAAAGTCAGGACCCCTTTCTGGTTAAGAAACTGACACAATATTACCATGCATGGTATTGCAGATAAATATATATCGTATATTGGACCTCATTCTGGAGTTGTGGATAAAGATTTTGATAGGCTTTCTCTGGGAAATGAAAATGGATTTCTCTGGGAAACTGTCAGTCCCGGATCAGATGAACTTCTAGCAGAAGATGGGTTACCCAACGAGAACGCTTCTGAGGTGGGGATTTGTCATGATGCTTCCCTTGATTGATTTGATTTATTTATTAGAAAACATAGGTGATGCTTGGATAAAGGGTATCTGGGCAAGAAATTTCTAGAAGAGGAGCAATGATTTTCTGGTAATAAACCACTCCTTTTTTGGATTTTGCGTTGCACCAAGATGTGAAAGCAAAAACAGGGAAAGGTGGAGTGAGCTGGCTACATGTTCACTACCGCTGCCTTGGATATGCTACTTATTTCGTGTTTTAAAGGTAAGAATTTGGTGACCAGTCCCTAGTTTCTACCCATTATCCAAGTACTCCAGGGTGGCCGACTTTTTTCTTTTTTAATTTTTGTATTTTTATGAGTTTGTTTAGCCACCTGCTTCTCTTTTTATTATTTTTGTGTGTGTGTGTGTTTTTTTTTTTTTTTGGGGGGGGGGGGGGGGTTGGATATCTAAGTGATTGAGTGACACTTGATGGTGGTGCTGTTTTCCACCCACTTGTTCTCCTTCCTTTCTGCAATAGGCAGACAATGACTTTTAATTTGGTCTCCACTTTTTCCGCTTCCTGTGATCCATCTTGAACTTTATAACAAGTTCTATTTTGAATAAGCATTACTTGACTATGCTCAGGAAAGAAGTTGTGTGGCAGCTACTCTTTTCCCAATGGGATGGAATGGTTTAGAATTTGTCTAACATTTTCTCTTTGAATGTAAATATTTATTTATAAAAAGTCATTTGTTATTTTATAGGTCATTGCTGATGCAGTGGAGAAAGTGTATTTCTCCTCCTTTCCCATTTCTCAAAAAAAATTTAAATCACAATGGTTCCCTGCAGTATGTGCTTTTCATTGTTCTGTTTCAAAATTCCTTTATTTGATCTTCTGTATCTATTAAAACTGCTTTACAGGGTGCTGAAGTGGCACTTGGGAGTACTTCCTCCGACGTAATGATTCAGCAAGTGCAAAAGCGTGCCAACTCTCCCAGGTAAGATATTATAAAGGGTTGATGCTTACGGATAAAATTTATCACTGCATAGTTGCTAGCAAAAAATGGTATTACTTTGATAATTAAGAGAGAGAGGATCGATGAGGGTGGGATATGGATGTTTGCTATGGCAATACTCTTACAGTAAGGATGGCAATTTTTTAAATCCTGCGTGGAGGGCTATTTGCTGGGTCACATCTCATATATTGATATCTGACACAGAAATTTTTTTACTTACCCTGGAAAATGGATAAGAGATATTTTATACAAAAACTAATGCAGTTTCATGTAAAATTAATTGCACATCATGGTGATTTGAGAAGTTCTAGATTGTGGAAATGTGCAATGTCACATCATGAATGCTGTTTGTATGACCTCAACCAATAGACATAATTTGCTAAGTGAGGCATTGCTTGGGCTCCTGCACATTTGAATGTGGATTCCAGTTTGAAGGTTTCCATCTTGTGCAATTACTGGATGGTGGGTCTTTACCAAGTTCAACCCTCTAAGAACCGAATACTGGTGCGACCAATTAGAAAAAAAGAATTGTTGATATCATATATCAATCCTTTAGCTATGCATTTGAATTGATTGTGTAGGGTTTTTATGAATGGAGCTGAAACTTGCGGTTTAGTGTATAAAGTAGAAGCTGAGACTTGCTGTTTAGGGCTGTTAAGAGGAATGGAATTGGAAGGGATTTGAGGATAAGATAGGCTTCTTTGACGGTTGCAAAGTAAACGTATGTTAATTTCTTTTTAGTGATCTCTGTATAAATGTTGTTAAGTGTGGGATCCCAAGCATATTACATGTAGTGTCTTGAGTTTTGAACTGCCTTTTGATACTCTCTATAGGTACTGTGTTCACTTTGTGTAACGCACATACAAATCCCATGGGCTCTATAGTCCTGTTATTGCAAATGCGTAGGTGTTCTGCATCCGATGCATCATTTTTCTGAAATTTTGCACTGTAGGACATGGAGCATTTGACTACGTGTATTTTATATACATTTATGTATTCTTACTTCAGCTTCCCTGCATGTTTTAGGTTATCACCATCCAATCCATCTAAAAGATCGAAAGAAGAATTGCTGCGTGGTTCGCAAGGTTTACCATTCTCGCGACATCCAAAGAATGGGCATACAATAGCAGGGAAGCAGCATTAGGAATAAAAATGCGAATTTAACCAAGGTTTTGAGCAGCTGGAGTTTTGTATGATTATTGTTTTCTTTTTCCCTCTCAAACCTGAGTCTCCGGCTGAGGTGAATAGATCTTTTCTTTACCCAGGTTCTCTCTTTGGAAGGTGGGCTATTTTTTCTTGATGCCCTATTTTCTCTCTTTATTTTGTGGCTGTCGTGGGTTCAGTGCCCTCTCAACTTGTATGTTTTCGTAAGTTTGTTCATTTTAGCAATCACAGTGTAGGCGACAAACAGTTCATTTTCGACATGTCTGTTCCTGAATTGGTTTGTTGCACGTCCTTTTTAGATTAGATGAGGCTTCTGGAGGGTACTGCCAACAGTGCTTAAATAGGTATCAGATACTGGTGGCTTTGTAATTGAAATTAGGCTTAATTGCAAATTGTACCATGAAAGATCTCTCGAATCTTAATTTATACCCTTAAAGATAAAAAATCTCAATTTATAACCTTAAATATATAAATTTGTATCAATGTGTATTTGAAGTTAATATCCGTGCAGTTTATCGTTTAAAACTAAATGGGTAAATTATATTAAAACTTTTTCATGTTTGTTACTTTATTATTTGGATTTTTTACATTTAAAATATTACACTTACACTCCTGAGAATCTTAATATGATTAAAAGTGTTCCACCAATTGGACATCTAAATAATTCTCTTCAAGTTATGTATTTATTGGATATAAAAAATATTATATAATATCAATACTTTTGAACATTATATAATACTTATATTGTACTGAGTATTTAAAAGATAAGTTTGAACTTTAAAGTACAATAGACTTACAAAATAAAGGATAACATAAAAATTATTGTTGTTTATTAGGATGACATCATGTTTTTTAACGGTTATATTAATGGATATTGACGACAAGAGTTCTGTTACAGACGCACAAACGTTAGGGGGTTTAAGTGTAATATTTTAAATGTGAAGGATTCAGTGATTAAGTGACAAATCTGAAGGGTGTAGGAATGTCAGGGAGTTTAGGTGTAATATTTTAAATGTGAGGAGGTCTAATAATTAAGTGATAAATTTGAGGGGTGTAGGTATAATTTATTTATTTAAACGGCTGTTAGGTTCAGGTATACATTGATACAAATTTATATATTTAAGAGTGTAAATTAAAAATTTTGATCTTTGAGAGATAGAACCCGGTGTGATTAACCTCAGCATTTCACTAGTATAGTAGTTATTTGTCTTTAAATTCAGTGTTTTATTGAAGTCGTGTAACCTGTTTGTTTCCCTTGTCTGTCGCACCTGCTCACTAAAGTACTAATCTGTCGCACCTGCTCACTAAAGTACTAAACTATGGTTTAAGCAACCAATGATGAACGAACCAATCTTTGAGCATGTATAAAAAGTTCATTATGAGTTTTAAGCTCGAATGATTTTTGGCTTGGTAAGCTAGTATACAATTTAACTAATCTAGTAAGGGTTTACATATCCTGCGCGAGAGAGCCGTTTAATTTAAACCGAGGAAATAAGGGGTTTGAAAGAAACGAATTCAAGTAGAAAACACGCCATGCCTAGATTGATTTAGTACCGAATTTCTAGTATTGAGACGTTGCTTTCCAAACACAACTCGACTGCCGTTTTGGTCATGTTTACATTTTTTTTTTTTTTTTTGTCTAAAGCATTATTACAACTACAAGGGGGTCTTCCCACAATGACAAGGCTATTTACTAATGCGACTAGAGCTTTATAAGCTTAAGCTAACAAAATAACCTCTCTGTAAACGAGGTAAAACTGCGTGTCCATGACTCTGTAGACCCCTTGATAAGAGGAGTCTCCTGCTCTTTATAATTCTCACAACTTCCCAACTTGCCTACTGCGTGTGAGAGTCGAAAGTTTAGAAATTGGAAAAGCATAAGATTTTGTTCCTGCTCTCTGGATGTATTGATTTTAACATCAACACCGGAACACAATCAATTATTTTTTGAACAAGTTTACAGGACCAGGCACTAGTATAGCTTTTAAGAAATCTTCATAACGCAATACAGAACTCAATTTTTACATAACCCTGAGAAAATATCATGGTACACAAGCATCAGAGGGAGATAATAACAATCTGGGAATCTTCAGAGGTAGCACACAACAACAGGATGAAACTAATAAAGAAAATGTTTTCTTCCTGCTTGTAACTTCAGCTGATGCTATCTGAATCCTAAATTACTAAGGAACTCAAGCAGAGTCCTTCGACCCCATTGAATATCGTTGTCAAAGACACCGTTGTTCAATGGCTTTACGTTGGGCTGGTCTTGTTCTTCTGCTAATTGTGGTATCTGCACATGTTGGTTGTCATGCAATTCTTGTTTCTCTTTGAGCATCATCTCAGTTGTTTCTACTGAACGTGGTGAGTCATTGCCATGTTCTTCCTTCCGATCTAACTGGATCTTTTTTTGTTTACAGTTCATGGGAGAATCAAAAAATCAAGAAAAATGAAAAACAGATTGTCACACAATGTGCATCTGCAAAATTAATTATGCAGGCATTACTAACTGGAAGTTGTAATCGACAATCTATGTCATGTAAGACTTGGCATTTATCACTATTCACGGCAAAGCAGTAGAAAGTGAATGGTCTAGCAAATGTCATCAGTTCTGTATCAAAGTTGTAACAAAAAATTTCTACCCTTTTCCCTGTGGCACTTTCTTTCAGTTTTGAAAATGCATGCCAATTTTTATTACAACTTAAGCCCCCCATTTTATGAGGGCAGATCTGTATGTCTTAAGAATTGTTTAGATTTTCATGTGATTGCTTAGGGTAGGTTAATTAGATTGTTATTCTTTCAAATAACCACAGTTTCTACTTCATGTTGATGCAGATGCAATAGTTTTTTTTCTAAATTATTTATTTGATCAGTACAGATGTAGTAGTACAACATCAGAGAAGTGCTAGTAACTGCCTTATTGCCATGTCTTCCTGGAATGATCTTATTAATCTGAAGAGGATACAACCTGGAACTGAGTCTACTTTAGCAAAAAGCAATCTCGGGTCCTTTATGAGCGTTGATTAACAGATTTGGAGGCAAGATCCATTTCTATTTTCTTGCAAAATTAAAGAGAAGATGTTACTACATTAAGCAATTACCTTCGGTGCATCATTGAGGTCTTTGGCTTTGTCAATTCCAGTCAAGGCATTGGCCTCAATGTTTTTCTCCGTTTCATCCAGGGGCGCTTCTTCAATAGTTGCTGTTGGGAATGGATACAAACCCGGAACTAAAACAGGAACTTCTTCATAGGAAACTAGGTTTTCCTCAGCTTTTTTTGTGCTTGCCAAGTTTTCGAAGTTCACTGCTCTACCATTGTTTCCCATAATGTTTTCGCCAGCAGCCATATCCTTGTTTGAAATAGCACTATACACTTCAGCAGTTGTATTCATCTGGGGTTTTTTCATTGGTTCAGCGATATTATCTGCCACAATAGCCATAGGTTTCTCATCCAATGGCTTCTCTAATGGTTTTTCACAGCCATCAGTGGTTGTTATATCTTTCTTTTCACCTGCAGCCATATCCTTGTTTGAAATAGCACTAGACACTTCAGCAGTTGTATTCATCTGGGGTTTTTTCATTGGTTCAGTGATATTATCTGCCACAATAGCCATAGGTTTCTCATCCAATGGCTTCTCTATTGGTGTTTCACAGCCATCAGTGGTTGTTATATCCTTCTTTTCATCAGTGCCGGGGCTTTCTCTTGGCTGAATCAAGTTCTCTGCAATGATCAGCTTCTCTGAATCAATAAGGGATTCCTCATGATGTTTAGTAGTTGGTTCCTCCTCTATGATGTTCTGAAGTTCAGCATTGTCCCAATCTTCACAAACAGTTAACGTCTTCTTCGTTTCTGATGTTTGAAGAACTCGATCTGGTCCTGGTTGCCAGAGGATAGTCTCATTGCCTGCTTTCATTATGAACTTGTACTTGATCGATTTTGCAGTTGGGATATCCTATTTAAAACCAATGAGACCATTATACCATATCAGAAATTACCTTTGATCATAAATCTCTGCTATCATCCATGAAAATGGATAGTTCCTTCTTACCAGCTCAACAGTCCATACATGTCCATCAGACCAGTTCAAAGGTACAGCTTTCAATGGATCCCACAGCCCGAACATAGGATCATCCCCTACTATGAGAAATTGATGGCCAAATGAGCACTTTCTATTTAGTTGAAATTTGACATGAACAGTTTGGGATTGAGCTGCACATGATGAGACCATCGTCAAATGACCAAATGTTAAAACAAAACAAGAGAGCAGAATATAATGCCCTGTTTGGTTTGTGTCTAGAGAAACAATATCTGAAAACCGAAGAATTTTAGAAAAGAGTGTTTTGATATTTTTTGTATCACAGAATTTGTTTGGTTATATAATTCAAAAAACAGTTCTACTAAATAGACAACAATAAAACTTATTTAGACAATAACCTTGAAAACAATAAAAATAAAAATGTGGTGGTGGTGGAAATGTAGTGGTGGTGGTGGTATTTTCTAAATTTTTGGAAAGGTGATCCCAAAAAATACCCAAAACAGTCGTAACATATTCTTTAAATATACCCACTTTTTGTTCTTAGTTTCCCTATAAACAAAAATAAAAAATAGTTGGCCAACCAACTTTTCACTCAAAAACTGTTTTCGAAAACAAAAATAGTTTCTCAGATGGAAACTTGTCGAACAATCTGAACTTACATATATCCTCAATCTGTGGCTCATCTTCCTGCAATTGTGTCTGCATCAAAGTGAACACAAAGCAAAATCAGTATAATTTTTCGACATCCAAGGTAGAAGGTAATCACCATATATCTATCACAAGCCATAATGATTGACTCTTCAAGTACCAATATAGGCCAATGGTGTCTCATTAATCTGACACACAAGAATGAACTATTACAACTTTCGAATGATGTTTCTATAATAGATGAAAGGAAAAAAGAATTTCACAACAGCTAATCAGCTATTTTTTCCCTCTAGTGGTCTGGAATTAGTTCTCAAACTTCAAGCATTAAACTTTTTGTCCTTTCTGAGATATCAAACAAAATCATATCCACATCATAGAAGTGGGAACAAAACAGTTCAGAGAGAGAGACCTGGATGTCTGATGAGGACGGAGAAGAAGCCAAAACAACGGGGTGAATGGTACCGCGTCGAAGAGAAATTGAAAGGGAGAAGCTAACATCGACAATTTTCGGGTACCCAAATGAACAAATTTGGGTTCTGCTAAGAACTATACCTCTTGCACACAAAACCCCTCTGTAGTTGTTTGAAAACAGCCTTGAAGAAGAGCTCGTTAAGATCTTCATCACTCACTCCTGAGCTTATTACCAGTTGGGTTTTGCGACTTTGAAATCGAGGAAGAGAAAGAAACAGAAAAAAACAAGGATTTCAGCTTCCAAAATAAAGAAAATTACGAAGGATTAGAGAAGAAAGCTATGGGGGATATAGATAATTTGTAGTTTGTTTTATCTGAGACATTGGTGGCTCAGAGTCAGAGTAAGTGGAGAAATATAAAGGGTAGTGATGGGTCCTGGTAGAGCACGGATCAAGAACCAGGTGGCACACTGCGTGTCACTGGGAGTTGAATCTAACATTAGAATGTCAACAAACTGTTCTCCGAAAACAGAAGAAGAAAATTGGAAAGGGTTACAGCACCGAAGAAGGAATCGTATCGAAATTTATGATCGCTTAGAGTTAAAGTTATAATTTTTGTTGAGGTATAAATTATAATTTTTAAAGATTATGATTGATTGAAATTGATAACAAAGTTTTAATTTTTAAAAATTAAATTATAATTTATAAGTATAAGTTACAACTGTTCATAGAAAGTTCATGATCGATCATATGTATTTGTAATCGATCATGACCCTTTTATCGATCATAAATTTTCTTTGAACAGTAATAACTTCTCTCTTTTAAATTATAATTTTAACACAAAAATTATAAACGGCGGTATCGTAAACTTTCCCAGAAAAAATAACCAAATGTGAGCTTTTCAATGCATGAAACAAATCAAATGTAAGAGGTACATTAATGTCACATTTCGGTGGCAATTTTAGTATTGTAGACATGGAATGATTACATTAAATCTATGTTTTATTTATTTTTTAAAAAGTTAACAGTATTTTTGTTTTTTAAAGTAAATTCGTTTTATCAGTTTAGTCTTTATTATATTAATTTTATCAATTTAGTCTATAAAATTTTAATTTATGTTACTTTAGTGCCTAATCAGACAATTTATTAAATTTTTTAACGAAAGTAACCATTTGTCATGTTATCAGATGGTATAATGTGATCATTTGGTCAAAAAAAATCAACGGTCTGTTTGTATTTAAACACTAATTAAATATTTTAGAAATTAAATTGATAAATTTAATAGTTTAAAGACTAAATTAATAAAATATGTAAATTTTAGAGACTAAAATTACTATTAACACTTTTTATACTTCAGGCGAAACCAATTCCAAGGGTGTGACAGACGGTGTGTACATGTCCCGAATACATATTAACCATTGCATGTTGATCTGCGATTACTAGCGATTCTAACTTTATGTTCCCGAGTTATAGAGAACAATATGAACTAAGGCAATCTTTTCGGATGTACTCCAGCTTTATGATCCCAAGTTACAAAGAACAATTCGAATTGAGGCTCCCTCCCCCTTACAGCCTTGCTGTCCATTGTAATTGTCATTTGAATAACAATATTATAGAAACTTAATTCATCATCGTTATTGAATTAATTATAAATTTCAATACTAAATTAAATCTACATCTAATCTAACAGCTAAAATTGATTAGGCCCATAAATTAAATGTAAATATTATTTTCTTTTTTTGAAAAGCCTGGATTTATGGGTATGCTCTACCAAACTTTTTATTTTTTTAAATTTTAACTCAATGAGTAAATATTCAATACACCACGATGACATGGTATCACCAACAAATAATAAAATTTCAAATGGATAAGGTAAACTCAAATTGCGTTTACATGGAAAAAGAGTGAGGAGTTATTTATTTCCATGACAGATTAATTATTAATTTTTGTAAAATCTATTTATTTATTTATTTTAATATTATTAATTAATAATACCACATCACATTACAATATAATATCACTGTTGTAATCAATATTTTCTTCAACTCAATGAAACAGAATCATTAAGTACATGTTTAGCTACATGAATTCTTTTTTTTTTTTTTTTTAAAGAAGATCGTAGACCATCATATCACTTTTTTCACTATTTTATTTGAAATTAATTTTGATCTACTCCTATATCTTGAATTGCAAGGGAATTATATTAGGAAAAATATTATGTACCCCAAATAAAGGGGATCATTGAATGAGTAGATCCCATCAATTTTTTAAAATGGGACCCAATGATCTAATGATCCCCTTAATTTGGGATGCAAATTTAGATTGCAAAATTTGGTTATATAGCATTGATCTTATATTAAAGGGGCTTAGGGAGGTCGGTACCTCCCTAAAAACTTAATAGAATAAAAGTACATTTTTTAAAATTATTGGGATATAAGTACATCTACTAAAAAAAAGTCATAAATGTCATTTTATCCCTACCATAAATAGTGCATACCTAGTTGAATGTGAGATTTTTAAGATTATAATGTGAGAATTTCAAGATTCCTTTTGACATTTGTGTATCATTTGAATTTTAAAATTTCACACACACACACACACACACATATAGTAACATATATATTTGCCCGCTCAAAGAATTGTATCTAAAGAGGGACTCAAAAAATTGTCATGCAAACAGTGTCACCAAAAGAGAGACACGAGATAGTGACAATGAGGGTCCAATTAATGACATCATGTAATGCTCTCTTGATAATGTCAAAGTAGTGTCAATAAAGAGTGACAACAATAGATTGTTCATAATTGATGATAATATATATTTATCAACTCAAAGGGTTGCACCTAAAGAGGGACTCGAAAAATTGTCATGCAAACAGTGTCGTCAAAGAGAGACACAATATAATGACAATGAGGTCCAATCAATGGTATCACATAATGCCCCCTTGATAGTGCCTAAATAGTATTAGTAAAGAGTGACAACAATAGATTAATCCTAAATGATAACAATATATATTTGTCTACTCAAAGAATTACATTTAAGGAGGGACTCGAAAAATTGTCATGCAAACAGTGTCATCAAAGATAGACATGAATATTGACAATGGGGTCCAATCAATGACATTATGTAATATCCCCTTAATTGTGCCCAAATAGTGTCAATAAGAGTAACAATAATAGATTGATTAAAATGATAACAATATATATTTGTCCACTCAAATAGTTGTACTTAAAGAGGGAATCGAAAAATTGACATTCAAACAATATTATCAAAGAGAGACACGAGATAATGACAATGGAAGTTCAATCAATGACATCATGTAATGCCCCATTAATAGTGCCCAAGTAGTGTCAGTAAAGAGTGACAACTAAACTATTATTTAATATTATATTTTTTGTTGAACGTGTTATTGTCTGATATTACTATTTTTTTGTTGAACGTATTACTGTTTGATATTATTTTATATGTGTGTGCGTGTATATATATATATATAATTTTGAAATTCAAATGATACACAAATATTAAAAAAATATTGAAAGTCTCACATTCTAGATATTGATATGTTGTCAATTAGGTTTGCACTATTTATGGTAGGGGTAATTATTAAATATATTTTAAAAAGAATTTGAAAATATTTAAAAATGTGTATTTATTGATAACTATTTGATAAAAAAAAATTTAAGGAAGATAAATTTGGAAGGTAGTACTTAAAGCCAAATAAATTTAAAAAAAAAATACTCATATCCCATTATCTCTATAATAAATCACTCCACCTTTCTGAATTCGGCATTTTTGAACTTCAAAATATATATACTGTCAGATAGATAACAATTCATAACTTATATATATAATAATATATATAAATATAAATTATATATATACATTTTTCCTAAAAAATCATCACATCACTCATTTCTATCACATGTTCAATTATTTAATATTTTATTAATTTATTGTTTAACATATTTTTTATTTTATACATTATCTATACATGTTAGTATAAACATGTTGAGAAAATTTTATCGAATTAAGTATTTTAAAATTTTTTGTTAATATTTATAAGAAAATAATGGGTAAAAATAAATTTTGAATGATGTAATCAAAAAAATGAAGAAATTAAAAATTATTATATAATATAATGAGATCGATTTTTTTGAGACTCGAATTTAATGTTCGATCGTGCCTTCCGCACGGGTTATAACTAGCATAATCAAATTAGGATGAATTGTATTTTATATCCCAAAGATTTAAAGATTTTTACTTTGTATTTTTAAAGATTAAATTTTTACGCTATATCCTTAATGTATCAAAAGTGTTGCAATTTGATCATTTTATTAGTTTTTTGTTAGTGTCAACGGGTTGAATTTTAACGGAAAAATAACAAAAACTAGCAGAAATGTCACATTACAACATTTTTGATTTATTCTGAGCATAATATACAAATTTTAATTTTTGAGGGTACAAAGCTAGAATCTTGAAATCTTCCTCAAATTAATAAAATGCAATCACCGTAGTCTCTCTGATCTGATCTTCCTCTTAACATCAAAAAATTGAATTTCTAATTTTGTGCATTCTGTTCACAGCAATACTCATTGGCATCCTACCACCAGGTAAGTCAGCAGAACACCAAAGTCCAATTTCTATCACAGAAACCAAGCACTCCTCCATTCTACTGACACCACTGCGTTGCGAATCTTCACCACCAGTTCTTACGATTTCTCTCTCCTCGTTTCCGTTTTCATCTAAGTTGCCTCCTTTTCCTGCCAAGAGCAGCGATGAGTCTACTATCTCCATGATATTTTCAGGCAAAGCCATTTTAGCAAAGTTGTGAATGCTCAGACCATCTTTGAAAATGTCATCTGTTGGCCTTTTACCAGTTATCATTTGGAGCGGGAGTATCCCATTGCTGTATACATCTCCAAGTGTAGAGACCTGCCCACCAATACCATACTCTGCAATTCAAAAGTTCATACATGTAAGAACATTGTGAGCCATATACGCTTGTAAAAGTAGGCAGGAAAGGGTACATTTGCTTTTAATCACACAAACATGTCCTGCACACTATGAAGGGTAGTTCAAGCGCGTCCTGAGTTTGAATTTTGACAATCCTTTGAGATAAGGTCATGAGTAATTTATCCCTCATAAATACATTAGTTCCGACGTGAATGACCTATTTTTGATGGATCGAGGAGGGAATTAGTCAAGATATGTGTAAACTGACCCACATGCTAAAGGCTGCACTATGGCCCGTATCAAGACTGTCCGGCTTAGGCTGAATGGGTCAGTCTTGGCCTAGCAAGAATCAGTCGAGATTTTCTGGGCCCATACCCATGCATAGGCCTACTTTCACTTAATAATACATGAACTCCAAAACATTTCTGATTTGGCTAAAATGTAATCGTTAGATATAGTTTTAACAATAGTAGATGAATTTCATACCTGGAGGAACGTAACCAAAAGAACCTTTGAGCCTTGCCGATATGCTCTGACTTATAGGTTCATCATTTGGTTCTTCAAGGAGGAGTTTTGCCAATCCAAAGTCACCAACATGGGCTGTCATGTCATCATCTAGGAGTATGTTGGTTGGCTTTAGATCGCAGTGAACAATTGGAGTTTCACACTGGCGATGAAGATAATCCAATGCAGAAACAACATCAACAGCTATGTTTAGTCTCTGGAGAAGGCTCAATCTTCGAGCTTGACTTTGCTCATCACCTCCCGGATGTAGCCATTGGTCTAGGTTTCCATTGGCCATGAACTCAGAAACTATGCACTTGAAGTCATTACCTTGATAATCAACACTTGAACAGACAGTTATGACCTTGAGGAGATTACGGTGTCTTATACTTCTTAAGGCCTGCATTCATTTAGGAAATCCTTGAGGGCCCCTTGCTGCTGAAGGTTTAGTACTTTCACTGCCACTGTTGCACCATTACCATTGACAGTTGCTTTGTATACTGATCCAAAACTACCTGAACCGATCAAGTTGTTTGCAGAGAACCCATCAGTTGATTTTAAGAGTTCTTGGTAGGAAACGCCCAATCGCCAATTATTAGTGGAAGATGCAGTTAAAGGCCTCTTTTTGGAGTTCCTTATAAAATACCGAGCAGTGAAAGCACATGACAGTATAACTCCAACTACGATGGATACAATTATTTGGATTACTACTCTTGGGGAAAGAAGTTTTCCTGATGAATGGGATTTATCTTGAGAGCATCCAGGCAAATTCAAACCTGGGAGGCCTCCACATAACTTATCATTCCCAAGAACTGAAAATGCACTTAAATTTGCAAAGATCCCTTCTGTTGACACTTCCCCCTCAAAGTTATTGTAGGAGAGATTGAGTTTCTTGAGAGATGAAAACTTACCAATCAACTTTGGGAGAGGCCCAGAAAAGTTATTGTGTGAAAAGTCGATTCTTGAAGACCTTTCAAAACTTCCAAAGATTCAGGAATTGTTCCTTGAAGCAGATTGTCCCCCACTAACAGAAGCTCCAAACTAAGACATCTGCTTAGGGTACCAGGAACTTCACCTGACAATCTGTTATCTGACATATACAATTCCTTTAGATTTACCAAGTTGCCCACTTCCGGTGGCAATGAACCAGTCAGGTAATTACGAGCCATGGCAAAAGAAATCGAAAGAGAAGAGAGACTGAAAACCTCTATAGGGATGGTGCCACTAAGGTTATTACTTGTAAAGTTTATAACCAACAAGTTATGACAGTTTCCTAGGCTTGGAGGTATACTTCCTGCCAGTCTATTCTCTTCCATGAAAAGTGTAGTTAATGTAGTCAAGTTACCTATGGAGGAGCTAAAACGACAAAACAAGCTATGAATTTGCTCAAGCAAGTGTGTAGGGGGAGAGGAATTAAATACTGCATCCTGTATAGAGTCATAAATTTGACAATTTCTAACAAGTTGACTAGAACATATTGCGAACTAATGTTACTTAGATAGTTGGTTGATTTAATATGTGGTACAGGCATGAATACGGTTACGATATTTGTTTTAATATATGGTACGATGAGAGTAGATTTAATTGATTCGTTGTCATGAATCGTGATACACATAATTAACATATATTTTTTTTATATTTTATATAAGACTATCAAAATATTGGGTTTAAAGAATATCAAAATAGAGAAATAAGAAGTTAATAGTTACGATTTGAGGTTGGAGTTATGAAGTGAAATTACTTAGATCATCATGAATCAATTTATAGTTTGAACCCACTCTGTTTTTGGGTTATACAATCTCGACTCGTAGAACGGTAAAAGCATCTATGATCTCCCCGTCTATGTTATGGACTTCTTCATGCTATAAAAGAGAATGACCTACAGGGAGCAAAATTTTTGAAAATATTACTTAGTTCTTGAAAGGCCTCCAAAATTGAGATTAGGGACCTCAATTATTGGGAGAATGGAGTTTCTAATGATAAAGGCAATAGCGAGGCAAGTTTTCCAGGAGAGACACGAAGAACCATGCAACTTAGAGCATAGGAGGGAGTAGTGTGGTGTGAAGAGAGAAGAAGAGCCAGGCAACCACGTCTTCAATCTCTACACTTAGGGTGTGTTTGTTTGCCGGATAAATGCTATCCATACCAAACATATTGAAAGGGAAATTAATATCGGTATTCATGATTCAAAGTATCGTCCAAGCCATATTTGATTCGGCACCTTTCGAGACATTACCGTTAACACCCCGAACCTCTCATGACTCGACTGAGTTGTCCGAGTCAATCCTAAGTCGCCGATTTTTGTTATCGAATCGGCCGATACGAGTTCCTCGACGCCGCGATACGATCTAGATCTCTTGTAATGTTTAACATTTTTTTTTAGATCGTATTCTGTGATGCGACACTATAACCTAAATGTTTTAAAATTTTTCGAATTAATGACTGATACCACGACCTTGAACCATACCGATATTACACTCTTCACCTCTTATTTGTTTTTATATAAAGGATTTAAGTGGGATCTATCAAAAAAAGTAAATGTCAGATGACAGATTCCATGCAAAAAAACACTTGTAACCTTATTGCAATCTATGGGTCTGTGGACAAAGGAGTATTATAGTAATTGGGTGTTTTATACCGTCGATGGGAGTAATATCAATTTATTTAGGTGGTATTCAATATACCCATGTACATTGATATATTATTACTATAACAACCGGGTCAAGATTAGGATTCAAAAAATAGTATTGAAACATAAATTGCACAACAAACAATATATACGTGGCTCCATATACTAATTTACTGTATCCCATCTCTTAATACCTCAATTATCGGGCAAACAAACACACCCTTGTTTGTTGGTATGGAAACAGTTGGAAGAATTTATAGCGGTCAACAAAATTAGTTGCAGTTCATGAATTATTTAGGTCTAATAATGGTGAGGCAGTGAAGGCAACTATGCCCATGACATTAAATTTTATATTTTATTTTTGATCAGAACATGACATTACATTAGCCTACTCTGATTTTATTTTATTAGTTTGTCTTCGGAAGTGATCGATGTCATCACTGAGAATCCCTCTCACTGGTTCTACTCTGATTATTCATTGGGAAAATTTGATGTTTTGGATTTGATCTAGAAATAGAGAGAGGATCAATGGTGGGTGGAGAGGAGAATAATTTGAAGATGGAGTTGAGGATGAGCCACCGGAGCATAAGAGGATGACCGTGAGCCACGGAACAAAGCAGAGGCGGCCCGATACATTTTGGGGGACAAATCAGACCGTTTGATTTTTTTAATACTAATGTAATTTTTTTAATTCTTTTTCTCCCTAGTTTAAATATACACTAGTTTAAATACTAAATTTTAATCAAATTATTTTATTCTCAAATTTAAAATACATCTAAATCCTCTAAGATTTATCATTTAATTACTTAAATTCTCTTATATTTAAAATTAGTTAATAAAATAATTTTTGATAAGAATCCGTTAAGACCTAATATGCATTCACCTCACTTAACACAATCAATATACCTAAGTATCGGTTGTAGAGGTTCCCTGATGAGTGCGCAAAAGTACATTCTAAATATTTTATTATTGGATTAAAATGCTAAAATGTGGATATAAATAATTAGATATAATTTATATTATTGAACTTAATATCTATTCACACTGAGATATATTCGAGTATGATTTTATAATATTTTAAATCTTAAATATTGCTTTATTGGTTGGTGAGAGGTAATTTACAATGAGCTTTATAATTAACATTTTTTTTAAATTTTATTATTTGATTTTTATATTTATTTTTATTTTGATTTTAGCCCATAAAGTAAAATAATTGAAACTGATCAGCTGTCATGGTGGACCCAACATTCACCAGATTTGAGCTTTATTCTTTTCAACATGTATGTGGATTTGGATTTTAGGGGCTGAAGTAAAAAAGTTGAAATTAAAAAGGGTTGAAATAGAAAGGCTGGAATAAAGAAGGAAGGAAAAGATATGTTTTTCAAAAGGCCAAGACTTTTAAGTCTTTTGGGGGCTTTGGCGGCTGCGTTTTTTTTTTGCTTTTCTTTATGTATGGCGGCCGGTATAAAAAAGAAAAGAAAAGAAACGAAACAGAAGACAGCGGCTAGCGGCTAGCGGCTAGCGGCTATCTGGGCTGGGAGCAGACGCAAATCAGGGGTGGAGAAAAGCGCCGACGACGGCTAATTTGTTCTATTTTTTTTTGGAGATTTTTTATTGTCTATTATATTTATAAATAATTAAATTCTTAAGGTAGGACGATGGATGAACTTAGATGATATTTTATTTATTTTTAATTTATGTATTTAATTTTTATTGAATAAAACTCTTTTGTTTTATTATTCTCAATTTATTGTTGATATTTTCTTCTCCGAATAATCATAAAATTTATTCTATTTATGGATTCTGTCATACTTTTTCCATAGAATGGATTAGATCTTTGATTATGTTCGGATCAATTATTTATCTATATTGATTTAATTCTTTACTATAATATTGCTTTCTTGAGTATATTATCGTTGTTGAATTTTTTCAATAGTGATAATAATTTACGTATTTTAAAAATGGTGAATAATTTTTCAAAGGGTTACATATGGTTTAATCTTGGTTTATAAATCTATATATTCCGATTGAGAATTTTGGGAATTGAGTTCCTAGTTGAGTTATTCAATGAATTAAAAACAATTAAAATACCAGATTTGTGTAAGAGATTTCCAACGCTTTATTGTTTGTCAAATTTGAATACTTTTTCCGTTAGTCACTTTACTTCACTTTAATTTGCATTTAAAATTAATCTTTATTATCCAGTAATCATTTAATATTTTTCTTTAGTTTCTTTGTTTATTCTATTATTCTTTTAATTTGTCTTTCTGTGGAATCGACATTCAAAACCGTATTACAATTACTGCATTATTCTTTAGGCGTAATCATTCCCCAAGCAATATGTTGGACTACTTACCCAAAAGAACTATATCTTGAGCCAAGAGGGCTGAACCATATGTGAAATGAACTAAAGAATTATGAGACCCAATCACGCATTGTATACATATTAATATAATTTTGTAGGCTAAGTTACAATTATATGAAGTTAGTAAAGGGTTAATTAAATTAATCTTTCATAGCCATGATGTATGTGTGGATGCATAGGAGATGTGAACCTCATTAGTGATGTATTTGTAAGACCCATTCATAAGAGTTTTATGTGTGAAAATATTAGTGGATCGATTTTGAAATCATTTAAAAACTTGGGAGGAGGCAAGGGTAATTAACCAATTACCTTTACAGGTGTTGACACGTGAAATATATATATATATATCGTGTGTGTGTTTTAAGGTGTTAGGTGTGTGTGTGTGTTTAAGATAAAACAAAAAAAAAGAGTGTTCTGGTTTTGGGCTGAAGCCTAGAGAGTGAGAGGAGAACAAGAGGGAAAAAGAAAGAAAAAAAAAGAAGAAGACGTCAAGGAAAAAAAAAATACGTATTTGCGTCCATTTGAACTGTAAACAAGGAAGGTATAAGGATTTAAGTTTTGAATTGTGATTAATTTTAGTATGTACTAATTTGTATATGTGTGGGCTGTTTTAACATGTTTTAATTAGTAGGTTATTTTAATTTAAATACATGAGCTGCCTTATTGTATTTTAATGAGCTGTCTTAATTCAAATGTCATGGGTTGGTTTAGTTACAGATTTTGTATGATTGTAATTAAATATATTTAGCATAATTAACGGGCTGTTAAAAAAAAATAGGTTCCAAATGGGTATTAAAATAAAGATGAGAAAAATGTAGAATATGGTTATTTGAGATGTTCGGTATGTTTTTGAGGGCTAGGTTGAAAACGAAAATTTTGGGAATGAAATGAGTGGTTTAAAGGGCCAATTTGGGGCTGTTTTGTATTGATTAAATATGTATGTAAATTTAAGTGTAACGGTTTTAAATAAAAAGTGCGATAGAAGTGGGAAACGGGTGCCGGTAACGTCGAAACCCTAATTTCTAAATGTTATTATCATATGTGCTAATTTAATCCAAATAACCTGAAATTTTGCATGTAGCATTTTTAAATAATGCTTGATGCGATAATGTGACTTTTGAATGCAAATGAGTTTAATATCCGATGCGAAATGTATGAAGTGTCGGAAGTGCAATTTTTAGAATTCGGGGGCAAAATGTGTGAAAATGGACTCTCGATCAATGTGTTTAACCTACTTAATCCTAATTGTAATTAATGTGAGTGATTTTGAGAATTTGGGGAGGAAATGTGATCCTTAGAACAAAAGTGCTAATGTGTGACTAGATAGTGCAGTAACCGGGGCACTTTGAGGTGCATCATTTTCAGGCATTAGTGCATGATTAATTATTAAATGTAATAAATATATTGATATTGATATTGTAATTGTGTTAGGTGGAACGGGTGAAACAATCGGTGTTGGAACAAATATGATAACACCGAAAGGAACCACTAATAGGATCGAAGGGCCGTAGATTTATACATCTGAGGTGAGTGTATATCTTTATATGTTTTGAAAATGTTATTATCAGATGATAGTAAATGATAGAATTTAATAGTAATTCTTTAGGATTATGTGCTACGTGCTTATGTGATTGGATGATGCTTTGTACTGTGTATTATGTATTGTGGAATGTGACGTACTGTTTGAGACAGGGGCGTCGATGCCTAGTCATTAGGTGTGCAGTGATGTGCTAGCATTATGGTGTTCCCGGGAGGTTCAGGAGATACAGATCTATGTGGGATCGATTACCCAATGAGGGGTAGTGTGGATGTGATGTAGCTTTTGAATTCTTTAGAATTGGATTGATGTTGTTGTTTGATACGTGTATCTACGTAGTATTTATCTATTTCAGTGTATTATTATCATTTTCATTCCATATACTGCATGTATAATCACTGAGCGCGTGGTTTAGCTCACACCCCTACAATTTCTTCTTTCAGGTACTATAGAGAAGGATGCAGACCAGTCCATTATCCAGTTGATTGAGTCTTGTGCAACGTTAGTGTGATACCACTTAGGTTGAGTGCCAATATGACTAACTGTTGGGCTGTGTATTATATTTATGAGAGATATTTATGGCAGGTTAATAGTATATATTTATAAATAGACTCTACAAGTATACTTTGTGATGTATGCTATGTGGGTGTGAGATTTTGTATATGTATATAACCTGAAAAATAAATGATTGGTACATGTGTAATATATAGTACAGGTTATCAGACAGGTTTTACCATCATGCTTAATAACTACGGTGATGAGTGTTGTTGTTGCACCTGTGGGATTATATCATATTTGATTAGTCCAGCTTATAATAAATTGTTCACAGGTGTATGAAAAACCTAGTCGCATCTTATCCTTGAAAGACTGGGATGGGGCGTGACAAGAATAGTTATTTTGTATCTGGGAACTATAGTCTAGGCAGAAACATTAGGACATTTTTCTTTGGGTCTAATCCACTTCGATGGGGGTGCGACACTAATGGTGACAGTATCAGATCGTATAACAATTGTGTATGTTAAATCATACTAGTTAGTACTAGAGATAAATAAGAATCAATACAGTCATAACACAATACGATTTGACTTGATTAATTTTTTACTTTTTTAAAGGAGTGGAGTAAAAGAGAACGCTAAATAATCACTTCAATAGGTTCTCACGGGTGAGATCATGAAGCCCCTGATCGCACTCATTACTCATTTTGGGATCGGACTTTGCTAACATGGTGGTTAACCACCATGTTCTAATGTGGAGTGACTTGATTGATTGAAATATCTTTGTGTCCTCCTGTTTCTTCTGTATATTAATAAAAAATAAAATGTGCCCTAATCAACGATTACAATCAGCATAATTTTCCTTGGCTTAAAGTTCTCGGGACAAAAACGAGGTAAGCATGCACAGATGAATGTATTTGAAAGTAACAAACTTTCTTATCAATTTTATTTATAAGGGGTTGAAGGGTGAGGAGATAAGATAACCCCAATCCTCATTACATACATACTTAATTATTCCAACTAAAGATAAACTAGAAACTACCAACACGAGTTGAACTCTTATTTCCATACACACTTTGGCACATCAGACTGACTTTTTAAAGTTCACCCACTATTTTAGACAGGCAAGATGTTGTGTAAAGAGGGCCAATAGGCAAGGATCTTCTTGATGCCACCAATGATGTAGTCATCTGTGGTGCCGGGAGCAAAGTTGATGCGTGCGTAGTAAGGTCCTTTGAATAGGTATGCCTCATCAGTCTTATGCGAAGCAAAGGCTGCATCAAATCCACTTTCAAAGATGGTGTTTGCCAAACTAGGAAAGCCTTGCTTGATGAGACGGATGGAGATAAGGTGGGAATCATAGTCGTAGTTTATAAGAGCATACTGGTTGCCTTTGAAGAGGTATGCTTCATATTTTTTCGTTGACTCAAACGCTGCATCTACGCCGCTTTCAAACACCGTCCCTTTGAAGAAGGGGAACATTTCAGTGATGGTCATCGGTCCTTTGATTATCTTGTCATTTGAGGAGTGTGGTGCGTAGTTAATCTGTGCACAGAGATTCCCAGAGAAGATGAATGCTTGATCCTTATGATGAGATCCAAAAGCACAGTCTATTCCAGGATCTGCAAAGGCTGTGCCCTTGAGGGATGGATACCCAGCGCCAATAAGAAGTGGTCCATACAACACCTTGTCGTTTGTCGTGCCTGGAGCATAGTTCACTAGCACATACTCGTTCTTCATGAATAGATAAACTTCATTTTCACAAGATGAATGAAATGCAGCATCTATGTGCGACATTTTCTTCTCTCACCTATACAACTAATTTAAAAGAGATGTAAATCATTACGCTTATTAGTACTGAACATCAAAAAAATTTGAATATTATTTCTAATCATAACCAACTCATACAAAGTTAGTGTAAGACACAAATAATAAAGTACCTGCACTACATATTTTTTATTGGAATTAACCATTCATATTTATAGGATAATATGAAAGAAAAACAAACATAATTGCAAATCCATCTGGAGATTTTTAGAAATTACTAGTCCGCGCAAGAAAAACAATAACACAGGCTAAGAGAATGTGCTCAAAAAAGCCATGTTGATAATTTAAAACATAAACTAATACCATAATCTCAAAAAACGTGAGCATGCTCCAACCCTTTTTCTTTTTAACACAAGAACATACTCCTATATATATATATATATGTATATATATACAAATTGCACCTAGTGTTTGGTCAGACATTATACCAAAACCATGCTATGATCTTGCATCAAATGACCAACATGATAAAACTTCAACGCAGAGTCACTCAACACGAGCTTAAAACTAACATCAACAAGAGACAATAACGTCAAACTATATTACCTTAACCGAAATAAAGCCCAACAGACTTTGATTGGTGATCGATGAGGGAACCTGAGGGACTGGGGGGTTTATATAGACATGGTTAAGCCTTAGCCACAAACCACGTGTAGGTCAGCAAAATGATCATACATAAAAGTCTACAAAAGAGGTCTAAAAAATGGGTCCCGTCGAATAGGATGCCAGTTTATCGCTTCTCATTTTGTGAATTCTTACATTTGAAAAAGATTCAGAGTCTGTTTGGCGCAAGGTTTAAAAGTTCATTGTCTAAAAGTCCATCATAAAGATGTAAGTGCTTCTGTTACACCTTCATCATAGGATGCCAGTTTATCCAAAAGTTGATCTGCAAAATGTCCATTCTAAAGAAATTCCTTATGGAAGCTTCTCAAAACCATCCTATTCGTACTTTTGGGGAAGTGATTTTTAATTTCAACTTAATTTTCAAAATTAGCCTTAATTTTTACAATTACATATCTATTTTAACCCTAATTCATAAAAAATTTATATATCTTAGATTAAAAGATAGAAAGCCAAAAAAAAAAATCGTACTAAAATACTAATTGTAGATAGACATGACTAGATAGTTGTAGATAAACATTAGTTCAAAAATACTTCTAAAACACAATTTTACCAAACATTTAGGTATTTTAAAAAGTGCATCTTAAAATGTTCATTTTAAAAAGTCCATCTTAAAGATAAACTTTTACTTTGAAAAGTTAAGCCAAACGCAACCTTAAATTCTTTGTAGATTTTTTTGTTCTATATTTTATAAATTAGAATTTTAATCTATACTACTACTAAAAGTACACTATTATGAACAACCAAATTAATCGAGTGTATGAAGTAAAATAATAATGAAACAATTAATAATAGAAGACAGAGATTGGATGGTTTGGTGGCCGAAAAAACTTTATTAATGAGAAAATATGAGGTAGCGGAGGATAGAGAATGGGCAAAAGTACGCTCAAAGTAAGGTGTGTGAGATCTCTGCTCCAATTTATAGGCATATAACCTCAGCTGTGGCGGTGATGTGAAAGTCAAGCAGCTAATTTATTGGGGAGGATAGTTATAATTGGAGATAGACACTATCTTGTAGTAATGATTATCTCGATGATTGCTCTCCCACGTGCATTGACTCTCCTTGGATTCCTGAGCTCTGGATTAGACTGAAGTCATGAGCTAAACCTGACCTGTTTTTTGATTATTTGGGCTCAACCCATGAACTAGGTCCAAGCTTGGTCTAAATCTAGGCTCGTCACTATGAAGAAAAACTTTTGTTTGACTATTTTATCCATACAAGAAAATATAAACACAATATTAACTATATTTAATGTAAACCTCATTTTAAAAAAACTTGATTAACATTAAATTTTGTTGGACTACTTTACAATTAAAATAAAGCATAAATGTAATACTAACCTTATTAATTCGAAATTCATATTAATCCAAATTCATTAGTACTATACATATTCAAGTTTTTCCTCTTCCATTTCAAAAGCAACTTTAACTGTTAAAAAAAATTAGACTTAGTTTTATTAGTTAATGGTCAAACTATGAATAAAGACACGTTGAGCCTTATATATTATAAAATTTATTTTGATGTATCCTCAATAATTTTATCAAACCCCAACTTTTCATCTTCTATTTTACAATTTTAGTATCAATGCATCATCTTATTTGTAACAATAGAGTATGGTTGTTTTTACTTTTTTTTTTTTTTTGGATGATGACTAATACTATGAATGGTCATGATTAAATTGATTTGTTTACTGCAACTAACTTAATTACTTATTTCATTCCTACAACCTTACTTTCTTTTAATTGTGTATGATTATATGGCCACCATAGCTTAAAGCCCTTTTCTTTTTGTATTTTTTTTTTTACAATTCAACAAGTGTTCGTGTTTTTTAATTGTTATACATAAATCTGCATATCGTAATATGTATTTGTGTCATTACAATGATATTACAAATATAATTCATCTAAATTATAGTTTCATGTCAAAATTTATAAATCTTAGGATATAACTTTATAAGGAAATAATTACTCAAAACCGTAAGAGTTAATAAAAAAAGAATAAAAAATTATTTTCTTTCTTAAAATATTCCAGTATAAATCGTACAAATTGTAGCAAGTTTACTACATTGTTTGATTCATAAGTATTTATAGGCTATTGTATTTACATCATAATTTCAAACAATTACAAAAATAAAATTGAAGCAAAAATTATAATTTAAAACGATTCACGTGCAAAGCACATGTGCATGATCTAGTTTATTTATAAGGTAGTAGAAGCAGGAGAAGATAAGATAATCCCAATCCCCACTACATACATCCTTAATTATTCCAACTAAAGATAAACTTTAATCTGCTCACTCTTATTCGAAGAATGCCATCCACACCTTGGCATATAAGACTGGCTTTTTAAAGTTCATTGTGGTCACTGTCAGCATCAGGTGTGATCATGAATGTCAAGATCACAATTTTTGAGAGGCAAGATGGTACTTAAAGAGGGCCAATTGGCAAGGATAATATTCACTCCAATAATGTAGTAATCTGTGGTGCCGGGAGAAAGTTGATGTATGCGTATGAATCTCTTTTTAAGAGGTATGCCTCATCAGAGAGTGTGTAGGAATCTCTTTTTAATAAGTATGCCTCATCAGAGAAAGTTGATGAGTGCATAAGAAACTCCTTTTAATAGGTATGCCTCATCCATTTTGTGCGAGGCAAACACGACATCAATTCCACTTTCAAAGTGATCGGATGAACTCACAAAAATTAACAGAATTAATTTTTATACTCACTTTATGCAAATTAAATAGATGATACACTAAAATCAATCGATCAAAAAATAAAAACAAATAATAAATCAACAAGAAGTAAGGCAAGTTTTCCACGAGAGACACAAAGAGCCACAACTTAGAGCCGAAGAGATAGTAGTGTGAAGAGAGAAGAAAGAATATCACTGCTCGTACCGTAGCCTTCCTAGGTAGGGAAACTCTTGGAAGAATCTATAGTGGTCAACAAAATTTGGTGCAATTAATTAATTATTTAGGTGTAATAATGGTGACCTATGCCCATTTCACCCACTTATAAATCCTTTTTGATCGTTGGAATTTATTTTGCCTGATGGTGATGGCACAATAAATCTTTATGCCCATTCGCCTACTCATAAAGACAGATATTATGCCATCCCCATCTGGCAAAATAAATACCAATGATCAAAAAGGACTTATAATTTAAAAAGGGGACAGGTTCTTGGATTTTGTGAAAAGACTTCAACCTGTGCCAAAATGTCCAAGATTTAGGAACGGTACCACCCCAACCAAGGCGTGTCGTACCGAAAGCTTGACTCGAAGCGTAAGCAAAACACTGCCGTTTGTTATTTTAAAAAATCAAATTCAAGCTTGAATTTGATCAATGCTATTTTAAAAAAGCTTGAATTTTGATTTTTTCTTGATCAAAGTTAGACCATCACGCTTTTCAACAAAATTGATAAATTAATTGAATTATTTTTAGGTGGGCTTAAAGATATGAATTTTGTGAAGTACTACTAAATAGGGAGATATGTTTTGATTTTCAATGAGAATAAAAATAGCTTCATCGAGTGTAAGAGAAATATAGCGTGTGATTAATTCCAGAGAGATAGGGAGTTTTTTTTTTTTTTTAGAGAGAATTTAAGTACTAATGCTTTATATTGTTCAATAACTTTTTTCTAAACCAATTCATTTTTTGTGTGCAATAAATGAAATGTAGTGAATTTTGTATGGACTGGATGAGTATAGACCATTGAACATAAAATATTATAAATTTATATATTAGATATTAACCATACAATAAACATATGAAATATGAAGCTTCTTTTATAGCTCAGCCTGAAGCACCTTTTTTTTTTTTTTTTTCTCCCCTATTAAGTTGGCCCTATAACGAATGGAGAACGTTGATGGCGACTGTGGCGGAGATGCAGATGATAAGTGACAAATGGTTGGGCTGGGTGGTCCACATGTATGAGTAATGACTGAGTCAGAAATATGTTTTAAGTTGGACATCAACTATAAATTTTATTTTGTCCTCCAATAGGTAAAAGTAATGCGATACAATTTTGATTTTTTACATCATATTTGATAATTAACGATTGATTAAATATAAATGGACCAAAAACAAGTTTACAATATCTATGCAAAAAAAAAAAAAACTAAAAAGAGGTTAATAATAACCTTTTATAAAAAATGAGGTTACTTATGTAAGAGATGTGATGAAAATATTAATGTCAAAGTCACAACTGATAATATAAATACCAAAGTTTGAAGGTTGTAGCATGCGACACTTCATTGATTAATGTATTTTGTTTGCTTTAGTGCTTTTTGTGAGAACTTGAGGATGGAGTGAGCTAGACCTTTTTTTTTTATTTAATATTTTTTTATTGTTGACTCCAAGAATTTCTATAGCCCATTTTATTTTTATTTCAATCTGGTAACCAAGAGATTTGTTCTCTCAATGAATCCCAATATTGTTTATTCAAAGTCATTAGGGTGGACATAATTAAAGATATTAAAAAATACATAAAATATACATAGATTAAAAAAAAAAAATTCAGGGTGGGCCTGGTCCCTCCTAACCCATGTGTGCCTCCGCAACTGTGTAAGGGAGAGAGAGAGATAGAGAGGGCCCGACCCCTCCTGGCTCATCCGATCGCCCGAGTGAATCGATTTTGAAAGGATTTGATCGGACACCATTAATTAATTATGCATGGATGCGAGTACGAGCCATTAAATGTGCAGATGGAACTCAAAGATTTTGTAATAATTACTAGCCCAAGTATACATACTCCTCCAAAAGATGAACAAAGGTACGCAACATAAACTCAAAAAATAGAGTACTAATGACTTCCTTGTCGACTGATTTGAGCATTGGAGGGGATTAACCGGGTGTTCACCCGACCTCTTTCATAACCTTTTGATTGTTTCAAGTTTATCATCTTGCGAATCGCTATCTCAACATATTACAGGAAAGTACCCATGCACTGTCCCTAGTTGTTTGCAAATTCCATTATTTCGTGTATTAATTAAGTGTTTTTTGAATTTATCATTAAAACCTATACAGAATCGCTTTTGATAAAACAAAATTGAGTGGTAGTTTCGCCACTTGTTTTTTTTATACCTTAACTTTTTATTTAATAAAAAATATGTCAAAGATTAATTATTTATTTTATTAATTTTTTCAATCTATATTTATAAACTAGCCATAATTCCGTGTTTGAAGGTACGATACAATATATTTTTTTTTCATTCTCTTTCTTGAATTCAAACACCTAAAAAATCGATCCCACTATTGAATGTCAAATTTTATTTCATTCTCTTTCTTGAATTCCATACTTTAAAATTAATTTGTATCAATCATTTTTTAAAAATAATTTCACAAACTTTTCTCAAAACACATTACCTCAAAAAAATAAAAAATAAAATCAATATCTATATAATATGAGAAATGTTATTTGAATTTAAAATGTAAACCCGATCAATCACAACCATTAAATAGATAATGAGTGCTAATAAATGCTGAGACCTACAATGAGATCAATGACAGTGATTGATTAAGTTTATATTTTAAATTCATATAGCATTGCTCATATAATATTATACATGAACAATGCCTAAATTAAATGATTCAATTTGTGATAAAAAAAAGGTAATGTGGTAAAAATGAACATAAAAAATATGTAGGAATATAAACCACATGAGTTATGGTAATAAAAAGTTTCTTCAAACTATTTCCACATAATAGGAAATTAAGAAACCAAAATTATTAAAAATGCCATTTAAAATAAGTAAAGCTTAAGAAATATATATAATCAAACTCAACTTTAGTGTATAACTTTCACTGAAGTTTTCAGCAGTCAAAAATCCCAATTTTTTTGTTTTGTTTTTTTAATCCACTAATGCACTTGAACATCAATATGAGAGTTTAACTCAAGACACAAAATTGGTTCTTCACAAGTTTGTCAATCAAATAGAAATGGGTTCCGTTATCTATATCAAATTCGGATATTCTTTCTTGCTTGGTGAACTGAGAATGTTAAGTTCTGCATAATATCGAATTCAGGAGACTTTCTTAACACCATTGCCATGGGGACAGAAACATTAGGATCCTTCTCCTTTCATTGATTTTAGTTTCTATACAAAATAGGTATAGTTCCAAAAGAAATGACATATTGGGCAAATATTTAGAACGTCCATCGGTTGCATTCAACAAAGCGAAAGACAACACTATATCTAGCACCATTGCTGCCAACTTGCAAGCCATCATAGCTCTTGAATAGTTGTAATAGAAGCAACAAATTTAAAAGAACAGAAGAGGTAAGGTAAGAAATAATTAGACCAATAATATCTGCAGCATAGTGAACTAACTCTAATATAGACTTTAGAACCTCTGGTGCCACATAGTATGGACTGCCCCAAGACAACATGTCTCCCCTGAAAAATCAACAAATTAGCAAACTCTTAATTAGCAATCTCAACCTCGTATCATAGAAAGCTGACATTCAAGGAAAGGCCACCCACACATACAAACACACACATAAACACACACATAATGACATAGAGATGAACACTCCTTGCTAACATAAACCTCAAATACTACAGAATTGTAACTTGACATACAAAATGGGTTAAGTGGCAATCTAAGTAGTTAACAATTAAATATCAACCTTTGCTATAAACCCACAATGAAGTATGGTAGAATCACCAAAAAAGAAAAAAAAGAAGGCCTAAAAGAGAAAAACCAAAACACACGCACAAACAAACACAAACACATGCACACTGAAGATGCACAAAATAGGCTATGCAAAATCAAACAATCTAGTGTATAAAAACAAGATGGTTAATGAGGCAATTAATAACAAAAGACAAAAATTGGGTGGTTGGGCCTAGGTTACCAAACCATTGAAGGTATCGACGGTGGCCGAAAAACTTTATTAATGAGAAAATAAAGTAGTAGGTGGGGGTGAGAAAGAGAGAGCAAAAATAAGCTCTAGTTTGGTGAGATAGCTGTGTGAGAGATGTCCATTATGTGTAGAGAACTTACAATTTATAGGCATAGAGTCCTAGTTGAGACAGTGGCGTGAAGGCCAGACTACTAGGCTTTCGGAGAGGATGACTACAACTAAGGATAGATACAACAAAGGATAGGCGTAATCTTCCAGCAGGGACTATCCCGATGTTTACTCCTCTATGCATTGACCTCCTTGGGTCCCTCGAACTCTGGACTGGGCTGAGACCATAAGATAAGCTTGTCCTATCTTTTAGGGTAATTGGGCCTAACCTATGAATTGGGCCTGACTCAGTTACATTTAGGCTCGTCATTTGCTCTTCATGCCCCAAGCCCCTTGCGATGACAAGGGATTGAGGGCATGAGTGAGCTTTTCGATGAGGAAGACCAGGTGCCTTGTTACCTACAGTAGCTCCTTCAACTTCCCATCCTTCTGTATTCAAGCTAACTCCATGGTTGGGCACCCATTACATTAACCATTGTCCCCTATGTTGAGTCTCCATTGAATTTGAACCCCCTTTTTATCTAGGGGGCACCAATATTTAGAACTTTAAAGATCTCCCCCATTTTACCTAAAAATATCTCCTTTGGAACCATGGCTTAGAAACCCTTCACCTCCCTATTCCACAACCCATTGAGAGAGAAAAGCTAGGGAAGATGATGAAGAAGGGGACCACAAAACTAGGGAAATCCATGGGGAACTCCTTGGTTGGTTCCATAGGATCCTCCAAGTCCAGGCAAATCGGAGGGCAAAGAGGCCGTGCAAATGGAGCCAGCGTGGGTGACGTCGAAAGGGGTAGCGAGGGCGACGTCCATAGCGTAATTGGCGATGTTGTGAGAGGAAAAGAGGGAGGCACCCATGGCGTTGTTGTTGATGTCGTGAGAAGCAAAGAGAGAGGCACCCATAACACTGTTGGCGACACCATGAGAAGCTAGGAGGACAGTGTCCATGGCGCAAAGGACAATGCCGTAGCGGCTGGAGGCACTGGCTTCGTAGGCAACGACGTCAGGGGTGCAGACGATGACTCCTTAAGCATCGCAGTTGGCTTTGGTGAGCCGCTAGAGTAACTAAGGGCCTGGGCAGTGCCCCTAGCACGTCTGGAGGCGATGTTGAAAGAGTCCCACTCGGCGCCCTTCACGCAGGCATCATTGATGGAGGCCGCAGTGTGGGCGACACCCTTGGCGTGGTTGGTGATGGTTTGGGTGACGCCAGGGAGAAGAGGGCTAACACGAGCGAGGGCCCAGGTGGACTGCTAGGCGATAGTTCTAAGATGCTGGGCTTTGGGGGGGGGGGGGCGGCTCAGTGGTGCCAAATGACCCCTTAGGCTACTGGAAGATGGCTGGAAACGTACTGACATGTTGGGCAGTGGTTCTTTGGATGCTAGCGACGCTAGTGGGGAGCCAGGTGGTGAAGGCTTCGTCCTGGGCTTTATTAGAGGGGGAGAACATAACGCCTTTTCACTAGGTAAGGCAACTTTGCCTACCCTTCGATATTTTAGTAACTTTAGCATTCACTTGATACTTTCACTTCCTTGACATTGGCTCCAATTTTTAGCTGGTTCTCACTCTGACAAAGACGTGATGAAGAATGTTATGAAGGACTCATAGCGAGGCAAGGGGACTACTGACAACGGGAGTTCGAAGGGAACCTCTATCTTTAGCTCCATAGATTGTGATAATGACATTGCTCGCATTGTGTCATCCTTTCATATTTTTCCTACTGTCCTGTGCCACCGGGCTGAGGTGGATAAGCCTGTATGCTTCTGACTCTTCTGGGGAGATTGTCTTTTATGAGGATGTCCTAGAACCAGGGTTGAGATTTCCTATACCTGGGCGTATTTGTCGAATTCTGGGCCACTTGTCACTTACTTTGAAGAGACTGATCCCGAATGGTTGGAGGGTACTTCTGGCTTTCTTTTCAATATGATGGTTGGTCTATGGCGACGGTGTTCCTCTCCCCTTTGAGGAGTTCTTGATCTCACATGTGCTTTTAAATAATCCTACTCCCAATCAAGGATGATAAGACTTTGCTCTGAGGTCAGACAAGTTGATCACTGGACTGCCTTCCAATTGTCATAGTTGGGAGTTCAGGTTCTTCTTTGTTAGAGGTAAGTGGGCTATTGAGGAGGACCATGAATTGGTGCCCTTAAGGTGGGATACTCTTTGGAGGACCAAGCTAGGTATAACTTTTACCTTTGCTTTTATACTTGAGTGTCATATCCTTCTTGTATTTACTGCATGTTTGGTTACTTTGTAGCTTCAATCATACTATCTACAAAGCAAGAGAATAGGCTCCAGGCTGTGAGGGATAAATCTATGGAGCAATATTCAGCCCTTATGTCCATGTTAGGTCACCCCTAGGCATAAGAGGAAAGGTTTATGATCCTTTCCATAAACTTGATGTTGTTTGTGAACTCTTTTTCTTATGCTAGTTCCACCTGTGTTACTACTGGTAGAGCAATGATAAGACTCTTTATGCTTTTAGTTTGAGTGGTCATGGTCACCTTGTCGTCTGGCTCCTTGATTTGGAGAGACTCATTGTTAAAACAAGTGAGGTAACTCCTTAGACTCTTATCCTGATCTTGCTTAATGGTGAGCAAGTGGATAACTGGATTCTAGTGTCGGCGTCCCACAATGAAGTGGGAGACAAGAGATTTGCTTAACTCACCAAAGGAGTGAATGGAAGAAGGCTTGGGCTTGGTGAACCACTGTCATGTAGATCCCTTACGGGTAGTAGGGAAGACTTTGCACATGATCTCGTTAGGTATATTATGGAGTTACATGAGAGACTTGTACGTGTTAAGATGATTGAGGGGATAATAATCAAAGATCTCCACGGTAAACATCTTGAATTTTGAGGGTAGAGGGTAGTTGACAACATCTGCCACAAAAATGGAGTGTCAGTACGCTTTACCAGATAGTCCACCATTTTCGACGCCTGTGCCTTGATGGTGTTGAGAGCATCGCCAAGTTGGTTTTGTACCTTCTTAATTTTTTCATCCTATTGGTTAGGGACAGCCTCAGTCGGATCATTATAGTAGCTCTTATGATCCACATACTGATTCTCCCGCTCATCCTCTTGCACAGAAAGGTTGGCCTTGGGTGGAGTTAGAGCAGGTACATAAGGAAGAGGAGCATGTGGGGCACTTGAGTGTTGAGGAGGGATTACCTGGCGAGGGGCTCCCTGACGTTGCATGGGAGCGCCTGGCACTGGGTGCCATATTGGGGGGGCCCCTTGAGTGGAGAGACTGCGGGACCTCCCTTGTTGGAGGGAGTGCTGCTTCTCCTATGAGTTAGGGGGCGATGCCTCTTGAGGTGAGCATTAGTTGGAGAATTTGCTAGTTTTGACTCACCAGCAGCTGTATGGTCTCTAAGAGCTATTGCCCAACCACAGGATTTCTCGTGATGGGTTTTGCAGGCGGAGGAAAAACCTCTTCCCTGCGAGCTGAATTGTTATCCTCTAGTTGTTGATTCATTGGTTTGGTTGTGATTGCCATGGATTTGAAAGAAAATAGAAAGGTAGTAGAAAATTTAGTCGTTTCTCACAGATGACGCAAAACTGATGATGCACAAGATAGACTATGCACAATCAAACAATCGAGTGTATAAAGACAAGATGATTAATGAGACAATTAATAACAGAAGACAAAAATTGGGTGGTTGTGCCTAGGTGATCAAACCACTAAAGGCGACGACAATGGTAAGAGAATTTTATTAATGAGAGAGTAAAGTAGTAGGTGGGGGTGAGAGAGAGATAGCAAAAGTATGCTCTAGGCGTGGTGAGATAGCTGTGAGAGAGATGCCCCTCATGTGTAGAAGGCTTACAAATTATAGGCACAGAGTCCTAGTTGAGGCGATGACATGAAGGCCAGACTACTAGGCTTTCGGGGAGGATGACTACTACTAAGGATAGGTACAATTAAGGATATTTGTGATCTTCCAGCAGGAGTTATCCAGATGTTTACTCCTCTGTGTGTTGACCTCCTTGGGTCCATTGAACTCTGGACTGGGCTAAGATCATAAGATAAGCTTGTCTTGCCTTTTAGGCTAATTGAGCCTAACCTATGAATTGGGCCTAGCCCATTTAGATCTGGGATCGTCACATACTACTCATTAATTCAAATAACCCCCCCAAAAAATAAACACTTCCACACTAAACACAAAATGCAGCTGAATTACTACATCAAATCAAACCAAATTGTAGCCATAAAATTCATCACAAATTCTCTCCTTCAAATACTGCTACCTTGGAAACCAATTGTACCCTAAAGGAATGAAAAAATATTCAATCAATGGGGAACAGAAAAAAAACACAAAGGCTAATGACATAAGACAAAGGCAAATCCAACACACAATATCAACTACACAAACTATCAATTTCATTAGCATCGATGACATAAGAAAAAAGAATGAGATCAATTTAAGAGAATATTTTCATGAAAACATGAAATAATGAAAACATTACCTGAAACCATAATTTTGAAAAAGAAAAAAATCACTTTTTAAACATGATTGAGATAGAGGGAAATACCGTGATTGAGGCGTTGACCGGTGTCGTTGCGTGTGTGTATTATGGGGTGCAGACAGATACAAAGAGGAAGGGAGAGAGAGAGAGCTATTGGAGAGCTGAGTGAGAGAGGTATGGGGGAGCAGAGTGGGAGAGATGTGTGAGTTGCTTGACCATCAGATAGTATGAGATAGAAATAGAGTTATATGGGAGATAAAAATCTTGTTAGAGTTATGGAAGAAATAGAAGTCTTGCTCAAAAAATTGGAGAGGAAAAATTTTGGCTATCAAATCAATAAATCCTCAAACGAGATGAGCCAAGAAAAACTCAAAACATAATCTAGTTTCCTTATTGTATAGATTATCTAGTTAGAATTAATAGTTGTGAGTAAATTCACCACGATACTTGTTATCTTTATCATAAATGATAAAACCATAAGAATCGACAGGAATTGATATGAGCTGCCTATCGATTATTTCAGAGAGAGATTAGTATTCTGATGCTTACCAAAAAAAAAAATTATAAAACAGTTTATCAAATCAACAGGCTGACAGGTCAAGCTATCCAAGTTCAATTGATAAATTGTATCTGGTAAGTACATTATTTTATTGTTTTGTAAAGCAAAACTAACTACTCTACTAGACAAAGCATTCCCAGCAAAAAAAAAAAAAAATCATCATTTCCATCCTCTAATAGTAATGTATCATTAGCTTAATTTTTTTGATTCCAAGGGTGTGTTTGGCAAAGGGGATAAAGTGGGATAAATCCAATTGGATTGGGTTTTCTTGTCCAGTGGCCCACATATCCTTGGTTTGGATCCATTTTTGTGAATGTGATACTAGTTGGCCTCAATTCCTCGGCCCGTAGTAATTTCCCCCCCTTATCCCATTTGACCTACTTTATTATATCCCACGGAAACTTTGGAAATAGTTAGCCCAGTTACCGGATTGGGCTTGTAATTACTAGAATATCCCTGTACAGTACCAAATGTAGGGTTTTTACCCCCTCACCTATTTTTGTCTTCTTCACTTCTGTTCTTCTCATTGGTCCTTCTTCCCGCAAGCGGCGCCAAGTGGTCTCCCAATGCAAGGTATTTCTCTCTCTCTCTCTCTCTTTGTATATATATATATCTCAAAGTCGATATGTCGTTGTCTCTCTCTATACATACGTATGTATATTGGTCTATGTATATATATATACAAGATCTATAACCTGCAAACAAACCTCACCAAAGAGAAGGTTCTGGACTCCAATTTTTAGAGCAAAGATCATTCCACATACACTTTCTCTGCTTCTTCAACCAGACCCAGCAACTAAAACACTCGCCTAAGATGCATAATGCTCCACAGTGGGCTCAATGTGGCATAGGGTCTCATTGAAATCAGAGAAATATTTTTCTTGAACTACTGAATGTGGGCTCACAATGTTTTCAGCATCAAAGTGACTCTTTGCCAAAAACCCACCGAAAAACTTTGGAGAACCCAAGAAAGATAAATGAGTTTTTGAGTTGGAGAAGGTAGAGAGCTGTTGTTAGTCATAATAGCATGCTTGCCGGTCACTGCGCTGGATCTATTCCTAAACATTACTGCCTCTATTAGATTAATTTGCACCTAAGTTGTTTGACAAAATCACTGCAAAAACAAGAACAAACAATCAGAAAATAAGATTCAGTCAAAAAAGACAAGAAGTGATCATACAGATCATCAAAATTTTTAATATTTAAGAACTCACCAGAAATCGAAATGGGTGTTAACCAGAAATTGCCATGGATTATTGTAACAAGAGTCAGAAAGTTCCAAGTTTTAAGCTTCCAAAGGAGGAAAGAGGCAGATTCCATGGTGCATGTAAACAATTCTGCCAGTTGCTAGACTAAAAAAATGTGCTAAATTTTTTATGATAAATGATAACACAACTTGACTGTATGTATCTTGTAAATATTTTTTCTTTGTAACACAAGTTTTGTTTTTTTTACATGTTTTGAAGGAGGTTTGTATTTGGTTTTAGAATTGTACTGGCTTCTTGTATATTTTTTTTGTGATAGGAAATAATTTTTTCTTCTTTTATTTTTTATAAAAAAAAAACCGTTAATTATTACTATGGT